GGAATCTTAATGAAAATCATTTGCTGGAAATATTAGTATAACAATATACCTATATACTTACTTGATGACATCAGCGTAGACAAACTTTTTAGGGTCTGCATCCAATAGTTCACAGTATATTGATTTGAAACCTTTCTTTGTTAATGTCGGTAAAGGATAAATTAGCCTGAAAAAAATATATTTTAAAAGCACAAGACAATAACACATGTTATTTTAGGTATTAAAAAGAAATCCCTACTGCATTCTATGTTTATTCTCAAGACTCCATTTTCAATGCAACTTGACCTACATGGGAATACAAATAAAAATCAAATTTAGTCGTAGCATCACGACTGCCATTGGATGATCTTAAGTACATTGATAATACAAATATTATATTATTATCTGGCAGGATACAGCACTTACCGTACCATGAATCGGACACAATACCCTGTTAAATTTAATAAGGAGTTCAATATCAAATTATTACACGACTTCAAAGTCAGTAGTCACATTTACAAACACTTGACCGTCGGTTTTTTAGACCAACTGTACATGATTTAGAAGGAATAAATATTTCGATTATTCTTGCTGGAATATATCGGTTTAATTCGCTCTCAACCAAATTGATTGTGAAACCGAGTAATTTTTTCAATTGAAATAAATCAAATACATTTATTCCAACTAAACCATTGTATAAGGAGGTAATTTTAAAATGTGAAAACGGAATTAAGTGTGGGAGAGCCATGCTTCGGCACGAATGGGCCGGCTCGACCGGAGTGATACCACGGCCTCACAGAATACCGGCGTGAAACAACCCAGTGTTGTGTTTCGCCGTGTGAGTGAGGTTACCGGAGGCCCAATCCCTTCCCTTCCCCTATCACTTCCCGATCCTTATATCCGCAACCTATCCCCAAAAGGCCGGCAATGCACTTGTAACTCCTTTATGTATGTTGCGGGTGTCCATGGGCGGCGCCGATTGCTTACCATCAGGTAATCCGTATGCTCGTTTGCTGACTTATACCATATAAAAAAAAGAATTCTATAGTTCTTCTATTGTGTCACGAATTACCACGATTGAAATTTTATACGGTGTCTATAATTTAATATCTATATATTTTGGTTCGGAATGTAGTTCAAACATAAACCAGTCACAAGAAAAAAATCAATAAACAAATTTAGTTCTCACCAAGTCTGCAACGCCATATCCAAGGATGCATCGACATTTCTATTCTGATAAAACGGGAACAAAGTTTTAAGAGTGTAATTGACATCGATGACCCGTTTAGTTAAATCGGCGTCCAATGCACAACTATGATATGCTAATATTACGTCCAATTCTGAAAATTATACCTCTGTGTTAGCCACTGTTTATTGTTATACCCGGAAATCTAACATTAAACTGTTAATTAATATATTTATGCAGCACTAAATCATGCCAGGGTTAATTAAAATCATATTTCTTTTTATTGTGCAGCCATGTTTAGGGTTATTTTATTATCGCGTTAATAAACAGTTCGAAGGGGTTTATATTTCGTAATGTGTCTATAGAATAATGAATATTTCATTCCATAAAAAACTCTTTTCATAATCAATATTTACTGATCAAGCAAATCAAACTAGTCATAAGTTTCTGGTCTAGGCTTCTCTGTGAAGACGCTCAGAAACAGGCTAAGAAAAAACAATATTACAAGAGATCTATTTCTAATAAAGTTAAAATGTTCTAAATGTATTATTTAAATTAAATAAACATTTTTTAACAAGTAAGACTTATCTACTTTATTTACTTGTCTGTAACAGTATTTTGAAGAAAAAACGATACAAGTTTAAAACTTGAAAAAATAATTACATCAAAAATATTACCTGTAATAAATTCATGAGGTAAGTGCGCCACTCCTTTCAACCACGCCATTAAATTCTGAATTTCATCTCGTTTCACATTATTTAATTTTTCATATTCTTTTTCAACGGATGCACAAGTGATTACCGACATTATAAACACTAGTTTTAAGATCTATTTTCTAAAATTTTACGGGAGCTGTTTACGTGTGCGTGCCGCATGAGATCTATATCAAGTAATGGTTCTTAAATGGGACCAATAGTTCGGTCTCTTTGTGCTCCTAAAACGTCAAAGTGCTTATTGACACAAATGCAAGGCCATACGTCGCGTGTCGTATTTTCTTTCATAATGTCTGAGCTCAGTGTGCGAGACGCTGTTTTTGTTTATAATAGACATGAATAATTTCAATAGTTTGGCTGTCTGATTTCTTGTAAAATATTATTCTATTAAAATAGTTAACGTATTTTTCTTCTTTATGCTACTTATAAACCATTTTTTAGGTAAACGGCCTAAACTATTTTAGACTTAATTAATTTCAAAGATGTTGCATGCATTTGTCTATTTCTCGTTGGATTAAAGAAAAGCCCCCTGCGACCGCGGTACTTCATTGCCGCCCCGCAACCCCGGCTAAACATGCCCTATTCGGACACGCATGTGGTTGTCTATTGGCTCTTTGAAAGAATAATGTCAATTATTGCTAATCATTGGACAGGACAGACCGACAGACTGATACAAGAAGTTGAACTCTTTGATATTTTTTGCGACGATCAAACGTGCCTAACTGTTTGAAATGAATGATTTGACTTTGGGTGCAAGCGCACCTAGCGCGTACAATATACTGTATCTGCGGCCCTGAGCAAGAGAAGGAACGGGATACTTTTAAGAAAGTAAGAGTCTAACAACCGTCCATAAGAGAAAAAAAAAGGATTACCTCAAATGAAAAAACAAAATTCGACTTTTTACATAATTGCATTAGCACCCGCTAACTCGGCCAGCTAGCCATGTTGGGCCTCTCCTTGATAGTCTGCTGACTGTTTGCCGTACGCTTGGGTCTGGTTCTGGTCGGCCTGTGAGCTACCCTTGCATATACTTCTAACAGAAAAACAGAAAAAACTACAAAGCAATGAACTCCAACAAAGAAATGAGAATTGGCTGCTACCTACATTTCTTGATTCTCCAAAGTAATTTTATTTGGGTTCCTACATTTAAAAAATGTATTGGGTCACTCTAAACTTAACCCTATCTAAACTTAAATAGGTAGACGCCAAAGTTACTCGTACTTCGGCACGTTTCCGTCTACAGGATCAATTTTTCTCGTGTATATTTCAGTTCGGACGACCACTGTCCTAGTTAAAAACTTAGAATTTTTATTTTAAATTTTCTTCTTCGAGTTAGAATTAAATTTCCACACAGTTCTAATTCCTAATTATTTTTTTAGTTCGTTTTATTTTAAATTAGTGAAATCTTACTTAGTAGTTTTAATGTGCACACGGCTGTTAATGCGATACAAAGAGCTATACAGGTCGTCGTGGCCCGGAGGTTTCTCATGTATGAAGGTGGGGTTTCGAAACCTGGCAAGAACGAATTTGAATCAATTTCGAATTATATGTACTTTTTATGACATACGATGAAGGAAAATATATCATGGGAAAACCTGTAATTATAATTTCTAATTATAAGTTTGAAATCGCCCATACACCTTGAAAAAACGTGGTAGTTAATGCTTTAACCTTATCTGCATGAGAAGAGGCCTTTGCTCAGCAGTGGGCACTTGTAGGCTGATGGTGTCATACGAGAGCTATGCTTTATTCCTAGAGCGAAAAATCAACATCCAATTTTTTTTAAGAACACTTTGTAGCTTATTTCTAATTTCATCACATTACCACATAAAACCCTCATACAAATAATACGTATACACGAAACATAATCCTGTTATAAAAACAGCAATGATTGGCAGTTGCATCCGACACTCAAACTCTCAAACACCCCATCTGCTAATCCGTGGCCATCTATAATAAAGACCCTTAAGACACCGGACTTGCAACTTTGATTAGACTTCTGAAATAGCTGTGACGGACATGTGTCTCATAAATGTTTAGTAGCAACAGTAACAACTTAAATTCGTACTGTTTCATATATATATGTCATATAATTATGTATTTTACTATCTTTAGCCCTGACACAAAATCTCTGTAGCTTCAAAACGTCACAAGAATATTTAATTTTGTCGATCTTATATTAAAAGTCATCTAAATCGAATCAGAAACTTACATATTATGCTTCATTGGTGAAAACGGTTGAAAAGTTAGTTAGAATAAAACTAATAGAAAAAGTGCATTTGTTTCCTTTTTTCAATGAAAATACTTTTTGAACAGTATTTCAGTTACACTCACTTTAAAAAAGACCGTTGATTTAATAACTATGTTGTTTATAATATCATAGATCCCTGATGTTATAAAATGTTAACAGAATTTATTAAAATAATCCAATTTCATGGTATCTTGTTTGTATCTATTAATATGATTTCGCCCTTGCCCGAGTTTCCACTACATCGGTGGTGTATGAATTCGTTAGGAACCCATGAGCGGTTCACGGACGGCCGAGCGAGCCTCGCTTACGGTCCAACAAACACTTTCAAAGTCTCCCTTAGCCCTCACCCTGTATCATAGCTAGGTTATATTTATTGTGTGCTAAAATCTTCACGAGATCCCCTCCAATTAGATAACCCTAAGCCACATTTGACGAGGTGATATCTCTACACATCTGTTTAGATTAAACTTTGTATTGTACTGCTTTATATTTCCACAATTGCGTTTCTATATGGCCAGTAATTTGTATCTGAAATAAATATAATATTCCTATTTTAAATAAAACCACTTTAAACTCTCTGTATTTTCTTTTAGATAAGTTTACCGTATCTATGCAAGCTTTCATTATTTATTTTTCAGTTGGAAAAATAAATAGTACTCTTTGCTCATATTTCTATTCTTTTGACCAAAGAGTATTTATTATAAACTCAGAGGAACTCTCGACTTACCTCTTTATTATCTGCTGTCATGTATTGTGTCAATTTTTATCAATATTATTAATTTTTTATTGTGATGTACTCATGAATTTATATTGATAGATTTATTTTATAAATTTTATTATATAATATTTTTGCACTTTATAAATAAGCAAAATGTCTAAACCGATGGATGATGATGAGGATGATTTAGGAGGCGGTATTTACGAAAATGGGCAATGGTTTTGGGATGATAAAGTTAATTCACTTGTGTTCAAAAGGCAAGGTCCTGCATAACGTACAAATTTAGTAACACGCATTTTATTATAGTTCTCCAGACCGTGTTAATATCATACGTACACAAATCATATTAATTTGATTTCTTACAACCATACAACACACTAAGCTTTAAAGTTCTGGTTAAAACAATGTCTAATATCTTTCTTATAAGTTTTATTAAGTTTTCAAAATAATCAAACAATACAACTTTTCTCAGAGAGATGTTTTTTCTTTAGAAGTGAAAGGCGATGATGATGAACTTTGGCGATGATGAACTTACAATGCTATTATGAATTATATAAATGGTAGATACCTATACACATAGTCTTATAAGATCGTCTTTTATTACATTAAGGTTTCAATATCTTACTTCGCTTAAATGGAATAAACTAATATTCTTCTAATCGTGTTTTGGTTATTTAGTGATATACCAATAGAATCACCAGAGGCTCCACAGCTGGCGACTGCAATTCTAGGCTCGGTGGCGTTCAAGGAGGATATCGACCTCAATGAGCAGGTCAGTACACTGAATAGTTAAACTGCAGTACAAACAGCCGTCGTTACTAAATAAGTGTGGGAGAGCCATGCACGAAGGGGTCGCTTCGACCGGAGTGATACCACGGCTTCACAGAAAACCGGCGTGAAACAACCACAGCGTTGTGTTTCGCCGTGAGAGTGAGGTTACCGGAGGCCTAATCCTTTCCCTTCCCAAATCCCTAAATCTACCATATCCCTAATGCCCAAAAGGTCGGCAACGCACTCGTTACTCCTTTGTTGTTGTGGGTGTCCATGAGTGGCGCTGATTGCTTACCATCAGGTAATCCATCTGCTCGTTTTCCGACCTATCACATAAAAAAACACTGCGTAGTCACAGAAGAATAGAATACATTTGCCAACGCCTCTACTCTACTTGTGATAGTCTACATATTAGACAGAGACAGCAATGTTTTAAACCTGAACCTTTTAAACTCTGGTCTTCAACCATATGCCGATGATGACAGACAGTACAAAGAGCTACCAAAATTACAAATAAATTTAAGAATTTCATGAATTGAAGACCATTCCATGGTTCTTTTCCCTAAGGAGTTGGAAGAAGCGCACGTATCAAAACAATGCACCAACATTTTGCCTGTTGCCATGTTACACGTAAGCGTGAACAAGAGGGCTTCCAAAAAGTACTAAAGTTGTCTACATAGCTCTTAGAATCAGAAAACTAAAACGGCTGCGAGCAGGTCACATTTGTCGAAGAACCAATAACCATTAGTACACGTGCTCTGGAACTCAGTGGGGTATAATTGGACAGGCCCATGTCCAGCAATGGACCAAATGATGATGATGACAATGATAGTGCTACTAAGAAAAGCTTTACAAATCAAAAAACTTAATGTATATTAATTGACTAGCTAATCTCGCGCGGTTTCACCCGCTGCTCGGCTCTACTTAATCATAGCGTAATGTTTTATAGCCTATAGTACTCATGAACATTGTAGCTATCAGTGAAAGAATTTTGGCAATCCGACCAGCGGTTCCAAAGATTACCCCCTGCATACAAACTTACAAAATTACAAATTTTACCTCTTTATAATATTAGTTTAGATTTCGGAATCCGGCAGCAGGGGACTAGCCTACTAACGAAACAATAATCAACTTTATTGTGAATGTTTAAAATTGAAATTGATAAGTACCTAATTAATGTTTTAAGATTGTTTGTGTCGTTGAAATATCGTTAACAAATAAATCATGTTATAATTTCAGAATCGATTCAGAAAACGTATGCAACGGAAGCCTGAACCCAACGATGTTGTTACTCTTCAGGTTATATTTGTATCCAATTGCTCAAAATATGCCTTTTTTAAATTAAAATGTAAATAATAAGTGTAATCAGCACTTTGTCCAGAATATTAGTAAAATAAGTAGTTTAATCAAATTGCACTTTTAAGGAAAGGTAACCGGAGGTCTGCAAATATAATCGAGTGGGGTCTCAAATGAAAGCGCACTGAAAGGAAATGTTGATGACTTAATCGAGAGAAAATGATACAAAAAGTATAAAATAAAAAAATGAATTAGACCCCTGACAAAATATAAATATGTAGCTGATAATAAAATGTATGGATCGGTCCCCAACGCCACGTTTTCTTTTAATTATTACTTTTTAAAGGAACACTAGATTTTTTGTCGGGGGATTTCTAAATTTTAAATTTATAATAGTTTTACTACGTTTTAAAAATATGTTTTTGTTTATTTTCCTGTAGGATGTAAAAGACGTAGTCCTGTTCACTGCTCCATTAAAAATATTTAAACCCTATATAATAAATATGCTGCACCTACCTGCTACGGAACGATTACTTCGAGCACTCATATTCTTTTGCCAATACCATTTGCAGGTACTTCCTTTTACGTTTCAATCCTACTAATATTATAAACGCTTATTTTATAAGTGTGAATGAATCTATATTTGTTGCTCTTTCACGTAACTAAAACTACTAAACGGATTTGAATGAAATTTGACACAGAAATAAACTATAGTCTGGAATAACACGTCAGGCTAGTTTTTGGCTAGGCACTGGAAAACTATTAAGTTATATATCCTACAATAACCTAATCCTCTTGGGAGAGCCCTGTATCAGTATGTATATGTTGGCTAGATCGAAATGTATAAAACGGCCTCATAGAGACAACGTTTGAGTTGTGTTTTACAATGGGAGTAAGGTTACCATGAATCGTCCATACTTCAGTGTTGAGTAAATCGTCGAATAGACGACGCCGATTGCTTAGGTACCATCAGACACATCTAGTCGTTGACCGCCTTCTGCTATATGAGTATAAAAATTAGTGCAAAATAATGGTAATTAAAATTTCGGTTTTTTTCAGACTTCGGATACGATGACCAGACGAGCGATTGAACAATTAACAAAAATTCGAACCGAGAAGAGCGAAATAGTTGAAATGCAGTTTATGGACGATTTAGAAGATCTGCGTTTGCTTATAGCTAAAGAATATTCGAACCTGATAAAAGGTATGGTTGTCCCATTCAGTTTTAAAACGTAAAAGCAGCCGGGTTTGTGGTTCAATAATAAAGCGTGACTCCGTGGAGCAGGAAAAGAAACGGGAAGTTGGTAATAATAGTATGAGAGAAGAGAGAGAGAGAGAGAGAGAGAGAAGACTTTTGATGGTGTTCAAAACAACAAAAAAACTTTATGCCTTTTTTGCTGCGAATTTCCGGACAATTATGACGCAACAATTAAAAAAATCAAACAGGATCTTCAACGCATTCTTAATATTTCTAGTTTGTAAGGTGTAATTGCACTGCCTACGGATAACGCTTTTCATGAGCTCGTAGACTTTATTATCATCAGTATCATTATCAGCCTGTAGGTACCTTAGTAGTACCTAAGAGAGAGAGTAGTATGTAAGAGACTCGAGGCATGTTGGTTGTTGCTATAAAACCTAATATGAAAACTCATTTTAAACCATCGAGACAATTCTGTTAGCTGGTGATTTCTTTCATACAAGAAAGAAGTCCCATAGTTAGTGATATGAACTTTTTGTAATTTCCAGGGTCTGGTGAATTCGGAAAATACCATCACATGGGTCCATCAAAAAAATCGCGATCCATGTATAGGCGGGAGAGCTTCTTATTTGAGACATTTTTGCGAATCAGTATACAGATTATATGGATAGCACTAGGAAGAAAATCTTTTAACGAAATTGGTAACTACATGTAGTTAAACGTACACAGTTTCTTACGATATGTCTTGAACCATTTGCTCAGTAACTTTAAGGAATCAAATTTTTATAGTGAAAGCTTCGATAGTTTTTATTGCAACAGTCACTCCGACAAAATTTACATTCCAACTTGCAAAAACACCATTTATCTTTTCTTCCATGTCCAACAAACAAGATTTCCTATAAAAACTTCCTTACAATTTAATGAATGTTTGTGTTTCAGAATTCGAAGTCCATAGAATATTTAAATCGAATTTATACAATTCGGCGGAACATAGGTTGACAAGTGACAATAAAAGACCAGAGATGACCCCTAATGAACGCCAAGTGCTGCTAGGTCACTGTTTGCATGTTAAGCATAAAGTTGACACGCTGTCACCCCTGATGAACGAAGTGCACTGTAGCAAGCGGAATATTGACTACCGTATGTACGGACTAGGTATCGTCAAATATCCTCGGTAAGCAAAATACTCCAGAAAAAGTTCCTTTAGTTGGCTTCCTATCGGAGTTATTCAAGTCTGTCGTATATAATATTTTGATTAGTATCATATGAAAACGAATATTACAAAAAAGATTCTTTAAAAAAATATCTGTGTCGTGTATACGTTTACAAACATACAAAGTCAAATGCACATCACACCCTGATTCGATATAACTCGAAATACGTCTCACGGCAGTCAATTGCTCAGCCACCGCGCCAACCTTGGCGTCAGAACTAAAACTCGAGTCTGTCTCAAAAATTTGTCTGTTACGCCTTTACCAAAGTACTAAGTAGTCAGTGAGTCCTTTAGCACTATAGGCAAATATTTTTCAGGCTTCTCCACATTACTAAGTTCCACATTTTTTACATTAGGCATTACATAAATTTAGCTTAACAATGAATCATCTCACTAGAGTTAGTCAGACTAGAAACACTAAACACATTATATCTCATATTACAAGTCTAAATGCTAAAATACCTATAATAAAATACGTTTAGTTTAAGCTCCCGCCTCACTTACATGGAATATGCTTTATCACTGCCGGAAAAATTTTTGCAACAACAAAACGTCTCATTGGGAATACTAGGGATGCCAAGATCACGCTTCGATATTTTACTAAGGGAAATAAGTGGAGAAACTGATTCAAGCAGTAGCAACCTTAACAAGTGCGTATCACTACAAAGTATAAAACAAAGTCGCTTTCTCTGTCCCTATACCCCATGTTTGCTTAAATCTTTAAAACTACGCAACGGATTGTGTGAGTGCCATTTTTCTTTAAATTAGAGTGATTGAAGAGGAAGGTTTATATGTATAATAACACCTATGTTAGAGTGGAGATATTTAGTATCAGTTTTGCACGGGTTGCTAATTAGTGTTTATAGTACTAAGTTATCAATTTTTATTTTTGAGAAGCAGCTACGTAGATTTGGAACTTTTCTCGATTCTTTAATGACTAGTTTTTTTTTAAGAATTTTACCCGACCTGGATCTCATATCAGATCGCATCACTAATAACAACTAACCAGGAATGTAGATATAGGGTTTAGTAACTTAAAACATGTTTTGCCCCATTTAAAAACGTTATAAATTTTCAGATCAACTTCAAGAAGTACAAAAAGTGCGACTTCTCGAAAGAAATCAACTCAGGAGCAGCTGCCAATATACAACAACATTGTTTTGCCCCTTAGAGGTTCTGATGAGTAAGTTAATTTGTTTATTATTGCACATCAAGTTCTTCAGCAAATACAATTTTAATACCAGAAGAGGTAGACAAAGATGAACAATGTAACAACCACTTCTTTTTTGTGAAGAGATAATCATCCAATGACTTTTCTCGCTTGGGGTGATGCGACCGGAAAGTCAGAATCTTACTGACTAAAAACCTCCCCGTTCCTTCTCCTGCTTTTGGTCGAAGCCGAGCTTTTTCCAAGCCCCGAGAAAATCTGTCACTTAACATGGTCAGTGGCTGGACGTGGAAGTTTTCAGGTTTGCGGGACCTTATTGCGCTATCCCGGCAACCCCTGCTAGCCCCAGAATCCAATCACAGACTCTGAGACGTATTATTTGGAAAAAGACTAAGAAAACTTATTACTTATACATATAAGAACTTCTTATTTATTTCTGATAAATCAAAAATAATTACTACCCAATCTGGGAATCGGAACTACGACACCTGGTAATTTTTCTTACAATCCTCATAGCAGAATATTTAGAAAAACATTTTTCTAAATTATTGCGTGGTCAAAGTCGAATAAAATTTTAATACACCCTGTATACATCGAACAATTGAGATCGTTTAAAGTGACAACAAAGCTGCTCTGGCCTCGATCATTTCTCAATAACGTGTCGGCACATTCCATGTTTGCATTACTTACAATTACAAAATAATTTATCGGTACTGAATTAAAATATCTGAGAATATTGCGAAAGAAATTCAATCGTACCGAAATATTTTTACAATTAATCATTTTATTTTGCATCAGTTAAATTTCCAAATTATCCCTCCTACCCCTCATGCTCGCCGCCGTTCATTAAACTTATAACAAAGATTACGTAGCATGGGGGTTACTTTGGATCACTAGGATCCGATCATGGGATTGGATAACCATTCTCACTCTGATACGAAGTATGATGAAATCGCACTCCATCTTTTATATCCACGTGATTAGTTATTTAAAATTAGAAATTTATTAAAAAAATATTAAAATATATAAAATAGTAATACATAAAACATTATTAAAATACATTAAAAATTGAAGTATATTAAAAAAGTATATAATTCCAATTTTAAATATAAGATTGCTTTTGCAAAATTTTTTAAATCGAGAAATTGCTTTTGTTATCGTAGTGGTTTTCTGACAATCGATAAGCATAGAGATAATTGGGGATCAGGCTGCTAGTCCTTATTATAATATGAGGAAGTTTAGGGAACAGACAGCGGTGTCTCTAAATTAAGGAAAGAGAGGAGAATACAATTCTCCTGCTCCTGGTAGGTAACTCTATTGTACGCACGTTAGAAATGTTATATCCGTGTTAATTTACGTGTAAACTTTATAGATTTTCGCTATATAGAATTTGTGTCATCATCATTTATATGCTTATCGCCGCACCTTCTTTTTATTCCGCTACAAACTACCTATATAACTTTGACGTCAATAAAAATGATGACAGCATGGAGTCTGCTTTTTCCGTTGCAGTGGCACACATCACATATATACAGCCTGTTACGCTGCATTGGCATTGATAGAATTCACTTACAATGGGTTGGAGATCATTGTTTAAAAGGTTCAGGTTAATCAGGGTTACCGACGATTCTGTATGAGAACCTTTGAAACTAACTACTTATAACTAATGTGACTTTTTCCGCGTTATATGTAGGTACTTTCTATGATTATTTAGACACCAATGGCATACCGTGAAGAAGACCATAGTGAGGAAACCGTTACTTAATTCTAATAATAATTTTGAAATCGCCAATACACTTTGAGCAAGCGTGGTGACTAATGCTCAAACCTTCTCCCTGTGAGAAGAAACCTTTGCACAGCAGTGGTCATTTATAGGCTGATGATGTTTGGTGAATATTGTTTACGCAACACGGGATAGCATGAAATCTTTCAAGAGCCAAGTTTCGGCACGAATGGTTTCGATCGATCGGTATATCATGGCCTCACAGAAACAACTCAAAGTTCTGTTTCGCCGTATGGGCGAAGTTACCGGAGGCCCAATCCTTCCACTCGCCCCATCCCTCCCAATAGAAACTCGGTAACTCCTTTGGTGTTGCAGTTGTCCATAGGCGGTGCCGATAGCTTACCATCTGGTAATCCGTCTGCTCGAAACCCTTTTTTTTTCAGGGGAAAATCATCCAATGAACTATCCTGCCCAGGGTAAGGCGAGCGAGAGTGTCAGACTCTTATTGACTAAAAACCCCCCGTTCCTTCTCCTGCTCTAGGCCAAGGTCGCGGTGCCTCATTGCGCTTACCTCGCAACCCCCGCTGTTACCCTATCACATAAATAAGTGTAATTATGATAGCTACTGATCCGATATCAACAAAACTTACTCATACGCAATATTCAATTTCTGTATTTTGTTATTTTACAGAGAATTACTAAGCGAGTTCCCAAGAGAATCATATCCCCAAACACCTTGTGATGACGTGCAACGGAAGAAATGGCTTCGTAGATACCTACGGATTGTTAACAAGCATCGATCACAAAATACAAAAACAAAATAATACCTTAACCTTCCTGCTTCTTATTAAATACATTATTAAATACATTTTTGTATTAATAAATCTTTTTTTACGTAACTACTTTTTGATTTTCAATTAATTGTGTCGGCTCAGAAAAGTACGAACGTAGACGCTGGTCATGATTAAGAGTCCCGTTGTAGCTTGAAAGTAGTAGATATTCCCACTTAATTCTCTTGAGTAAGTCGTTTCTTTCAGTAATTTTGTGTCTAAAGTCACTTTTCAAGAATAGTTTATCGGTACGCCTCTTCCGCACAAATTATAATTTTTCTTTTAACAAAAATATTCGCATTTCTCGCTCTCTAATATAAGGAAGCATTTACCATTAACAAGTTCAATCGAAAAGTTTCATTAATCATTAACTAATCTTTAACGAATAATTAAGTGTTTCCGTCAATTAATTTGATATGAGGCAGTAATCCTAAATGCCATACTTTCATTTACCTGTCACCATATAAAATAGCGTGATAGCCGTGATAGGGCAGACATATATAGACGCTATTAACGGGTTCAAAGAATGATTGATATTTTTGATTGATTGATATCAATACTTGAACTTGAGTTAGGTAAGGTTATTCCAAAGAAATGTTGAGAGACATCAAATCTATATATCTACATAAATATGATAAAGAATCGTAAAATATGTTGATAAGCGCATTACTCAAAAAAAAAACACACTGAAGGTAAATACCATATATTTGAGTATTATTTATTACCAATTAATAAGAATTACAAAAAAATAATGAATGCAAAAATTCTAAATATGGGTGAATAACTCAATTTTTTGAGGTCTTTCATGACTAGTATAGTAAAGAAATGACTTAAATTGTAGTTAAAAATAATAATTATGGTGTCTCAATGAATGGCACATGAGTTTCTTCAATCTTCGAAGCCATCGTTTAAGCTGCAATTCATTTATTGGGTTCACTTGCTCAAGTTCATCAGGAAACAATGAAGGGTCATATACACTAAAATTTGAAAATTATTAAGACCTTATTGTGATTATAAATATGTGAGTCGTAATTTCCTATTGGCAGTAAGAAAACATTAAAATCTCACAGTTCTAAATGAGATTAAATGTTTTCATGGGATATTTGCATTGGCAAACGAGGATTCGAGTTACCTGACGTTAAGCAATCGACGCCGCTCTTTGCCACACTTACCACCAAAGGAAAAGTGATTGATTGGCCTTTGTGATAGGAGATTTGGAAATTGAGTAAAAGGTGATGGGACTTTACCTACTTATTCCTTATTAACGACTTTATTTCGAAAACAATTGCTAAGGACTGGATTAAGTAACCGACGCAACCTTCAAACATTCAAAAAACGAGCATACTCCTCCTTAAAAGGCAACACGTCTGTGACTTCTCCTGTGTTGGGCGACGCTGATCACTTGGCTTAAGGTCGGCGATAGATATCTAGATATTGCAACTACTTACTCAGTTAAGTCTTTACTTGGTATCATGATAGGTGAAAACAGGGGTTGACTTTTCTTTACGGAACCTTTTGAGCTATGAAGGCTCTGTAATGACCTAAACAAATAGTATAAAACACTTTAGTAGGCGTACTCCTCAAAAATGTCTTAATTAACAGTTATGTAAGAAGTGTAAAAGAGCCTTGCTTCGGCACAAATATTCCGGCTTAACCAGGAGTAATGTCACGGCCGACGCGCACGCTGTCCATGATTAAGAATCCCGTTGTGACTTGAACTTGTAGTCTAATTTTCAGTTGTTTCACGTAAGCAAAACGTTATCTTTCAATAACTTTAGTATGTCTCACGATAGTAGATAACTATTTAAAAATAGTGCATTACTTATTAACTTGTCATCACTTTACATAACTAAAGGGCAGCCTACATTAATCGCCGGCGAGTAAGGGTAGCACGCCGCCCGACCAGAACCAGACCCGAGCGTACGGCGCGTAGCGTTCCGCGCGCTCCTCAACGAGCCAAATAGACCACCACAGACGGGGCCCTATAGGGCTGATGTTTAGCGGGGTTGCGGGGTAAGCGCAATGAGGCACCGCGACCTCGGCCCAGAGCATGAGAAGGAACAGGGGGGTTTTTAGCCAGTAAGAGTCTGACACTCCCTCCCGCCCGGCCTTGGGCGGAAGAAGTCATTTGATGATTTTTCCCTAACAAAAAAAAAGCGCACATTAATCGCGTCTTACTTCTTGAATATCCTAATAAGTGTTAAGAAAAGGTATATCCACTTACATAGAGCTTTTTGACTTAAGATCACAAGGAGGCGGGAGAGGACGCAGCATCGTATCGAAATGTGATCGTGGTAGACCAATGATACCCAATGTATAACCTGATGCCTCTAAAGTTTCTTCTGTACCAGCCACGACCATACGAAAATACTTCAGCCGCATAGACAACCTTAAATCGCAGACATATTATAAAACAAGTAAAGTTTTGTATAGAAGTCGCTAAGTAATTAATTGCAATAATCAACTGACTACAAAATAAATCGCCTTAAACTCACATATTACTGAAATATATAGTAAAATGTGTTCACTTACTGTGGGTAATTGACAACTCCGAGTCCCAATAAACGATAATCAATAGGTCTATGGCAAAACACGTCATTCATCAGCGGTGATCGCATTTTCGGCTTCCTGTCCCGACGAACACAACGTCCAAGCAGCGTCGCCCGTTCTGCCGCCGGCATTTCGTGCATATATTCTGACTTCAAGCGATGCTTCACAGGATTAAATAGATCCGTCTTTAATATACGATGAGTTTCCAATTCTTAGAACAAAATATTTTACAACGTATTGAGTGCTAAACTCTGTCGCAGTAAAAAATCTGAGAAACATTGTTTCAGAATTTTATGAAAAAGTAGTTTGATCGATAATAACCATCATATCAAGAAAAAACAACTTCAAAATAAATTGGTTAAATATACCCTTTTAAGAAATATAGAGATAGATTTATTTAATTAAAAAAGTTTGTCGTAGACCCATGTAGCTGTTTGACGAGGTACTCGACTAGTTTCGAGCTTTGCTGGGGGCTCGTTTTCATGGGCAGCATTGCGTGTCACACGACGTGCATTGAATCGCGCAACTAACTAGCTACTACTTGTCCAGTGGCAATTACTTGTCAAACATAAGTAAGCCATTATGCATATTAATTAATATGATTTTAGCACAAACTTATTTACCTATTAGATGAAATTTTTTTCGACCAAGAGCTATCCATACTATTTGTATACTTATGCGCACAAATGATTCAAACAATCTTGCATCGCTGTCTGATAAAGACTTCTGCATTTTGCTATAGCCCAGGTGATGGTATTTCTTAGTGTCAGCTCCACCTGTGAGACAAATCGTGATCATCACCAGCTAGAGTACATTCACTACTGAATAAAAACTTCCTAAAGATGCTGCTATAATCTCTACGCTTGGCCAACAATTTGCGAAGCGCGGGAAATTGTAGGGATTGAAGATTCAAGTGCCCAAACCGACTCCTGAGCTCTTTTAGAGCATATCTAAGGCATTCGTATTACATCTCATCACAATTTGATTATCATCACACTTTTCTTATCTTTTAGCGTGAGAGAACAGTTCTCTCACGCTACTCTCTACGCTTTGCGACGAATGACAATGAATACCACCGGTCGCCTAGAATACCGGCGTGAACATCACTTGGGTTATGTGTCACTGTGTGCATGACGTTACCTCAAGTCAAATCCTTCCATTGTCCAATTCCCAATCCCCAAATCCTCACAACTGTAACGACCTACAAAAGGCTGGCAACACAGTTGTAATTTCCTTTCGTGCTGCGGATATCTATCTCCATTAGATGATGCGGCAGCTTGCTTGCCGGCCTTTCCAAGAAGAAAAAACTCACCAATCAGTATTATGCAATATTCCTTAGCGACTAACAACCTCAGATCAGCTAAATTGTCCTGGAACTCGTTTTCGATGCGATCACAATTCGACGTTCTCAGTTTTGATGAAAGTTGCGAAATTCGTACCGACATTTCGTCAGTTATCTGTTTCAAAATGAGTAGTGTGTAGATTAAAAATATTAGTATTATACGTGTAGGTATAACTTTAAGCTAATTTAAGCAAAAAAGAAACTAAATATTATCTAAAAAACAAATATCCGCGAAATAATTTGTACTTATAATATTTGTGAAAAGTTTTAAGTGGTTTTCGAGTGTCATATCTATTGTTGTGTCTAGCTGTAAATTTACCGAAAAAAATAATATAAAAATAAGCCTGCCTGCATGAGAAAGGTGAGTAAGTATGCATAGGTATAATAAATCAGGTACAGAGTCAACATGATCTACATCTTGTAATATGCTACGATTCTCGAGCATAGCGAATATGCGCTGGCGTCAAAATATCGTCTAGGAAAAAGTCCATGGGTTTAAGAAGCCCATCATTTTGTTTAGGCAGATATTTTCAGTGGTCTTTTTTATTAATGTTCCATAAAAAGTTGAGTTGATTTAAAAAACAGGAGTCCTACTTTACATTTGATGGATAATGTAATAAATTTGTTACCTGTAAATAGTAAGCGCAGCAAAAGATGAGTGCTCTAAGGAACCTGTCTATAGTCGGCAAGTGCAGCATGCGTATAAGATTACGGCTAAGAATGCAGACAGGAGCCGTGAACAATACCAAGTCTTTTATGTCCTGAAATGATAGAATTCATCAATGCAAAATCGAATATTGTAACAAATTTTACGAAAGGCTTACAATAAAAAAAACAGTATCATATCACTTCACTTCATTTCAGTTTAACATTAAATACACGTTAATGAAGTTAAATATACATATACAATGTCGTGGTGGCCCGGAGGTTAAGCAGCCTGCTTCTCATACATGAGGGTGTGGGTTCGAAACCTGAAAAGTACCAATGTGACTTTTCCCAGTTATATGTAACTTTCTATGATTATTTAGACACCACTGACATACGGTGAAGGTAAACATCGTGAGGAAACCTGGACTTATAACTTCTAATTACCTACAAGTTTGAAATCGCCAACCTGCATTGAGCTAGCGTGGTGATTAATGCTTTAACCTTCTCCGTATGAGAAGAGGCCTATGGTCAGCAGTCGGCACTTATAGGCTGATGATGATGATGATGAAGTTAAATATACAGCACTTAAAGGTGTCACAAAGCGCACCAAATATTTTGAGTGCCTCAAAAAAAAAAAAATTTTGCACGATACCCTTTATTAAATTCGAAGTACCTATGTTTATTTATTATTTTCGTTGTTATCGTTTATACTTATAGATATAATTGCAACTATAACCTGCAAAGTAACTAGGTCCGCTTGTCCTGGTTTTAATTTTCTTTGGTAACGTCGACGATAACGGAGCTAAAAAAATATGAGATAAACGAAATGTTAATGTCTTCATAATATACATATATTAACACAACATCGGCAGCCTGTAAGGATCCACTACTTTTTTGTGAGGGGACAATCATCAAATGACGTCTGACGTCGACGAGGGAGTGTTAGACTCTTATTGACTAAGCACCCCCTCTTCTCCATGTGAGAAGACGCCTTTCCATGTAATACGTAATCTTTAAATGTATGTCTTGAAGGGATAGACAGAAGTGCACATCTAAATAATGTACTTACTTTCCCGAGTAGTTTTATTAGTCAATCTGGCAAGGCAGGCAAATAGAGGACATATTATAGGCTTAGTATTGTTACAAATACTTAATAATACCATGTCGGGACCAAATATCGAAACCGATAGACTTCCTACATGTCCCTTGACAAACGAGTATCTACTATTATTAAATTACAAATCAAATAAATAAGGCGAACGAATACTAAAATAAAAGTAAATAAAAATGGTCAATAAAAACGATATAGTAAAATTAATAATTACCTGTTCAATTAAATCGACATCGTCTTGAAACTTTACAGTGCCAGTAGGGGTTTTTGCTTGTATTGGTATTATTACTTTAGGCTTAGAGGGACGATCACTGTGAATTAGAATAACAACAAAATTAATACATTCTGTTAAACTTAGGCCGATGACAGTTGGAGTAGAAGTGTTCTAGATTGGAGACCACGTCTCTCTCGTCCACGTCAGGCAAACATAGTGTAGGGCACCTTCCAGCTAGGTGGACTGACAATATCCACAGGGCAGCTGGCAGTGGTTGCATGAGAAGAGCTGAACATCGAGCTCAGTGGCGTGCAATGGGGGAGGCCTATGTACAGCAGTGGACGAAATCAGGCTAATGATGATGATAATGAAACTTAGGCCTCCCCAATTTCCAAAGAAGTCTCTGACTCTGGGTAGAGTGTGAGGGAGTGTCAGAGTCTTCCTAATTAAAAACTATCCCGTTCCCTCTCCTGCTTCAGGCACGGTTGCACTTGCACCCGCCACTATAAGAAGCGAACTACATCCATTTGTTGCCGTGACTTGTAGTAAATGCTTAGTTCTATAAGTTCTTTGGATAACGATAAATATAAGAATAAAGCTAACTTCACCATTACTACATCTGTACTAATATTATAATGAGATAAAATTTGTAAGTTTGTAAGTGTGTATGTAGGGGATAATCTTAGGAACCGCTGATAGATAGCTACAATGCTCCTGAGTGTTATAGGCTATAAAACATCATGCTACGATCATATGGAGCTGAGTAGCGGGTGAAACCGCGCAAGAGTAGCTAGTCTAGGATATTTTTTGGGTGTAGTATATTTGTGATTTAGGATATTTTTTTTATTATTTTTAAAATTAAAATGTTGTCACACTTTGGGATTTTCTCCAGTGTTGTGGGTGCGTTTACAAACATACACATGACACCTATTTAGGGAGATAGGCAGGAGGATATAATTCGGCCTCCGGTCATTCACACGTCGAAACACAACACTGTTAAAGTTTCACGCCAGTTTTCTGTGAGCCAATAATGTCGAGCCGACCCATTCATAATTAAATAAATGACACTGTTTATTCATGTACTTACCTTATGTCATTGATCAATAATAATTGCCATTCAGAACATAGGCAAACGCAAACTCAAAACCACGAAATAATCAAAACAATTTATCTAAATACACTATCAGAACAATAAATAAAATATAAAATATTTTATTTATTAAGCTATTACCTTAGATTACTTCCGGTTTCTTATCTAAATTCATAAGTACTAAAATAAACCAATATTTTTTACAGCTGACACGTATCGTTTCCGGGACGCCCGACTTATTTCACGCCATACCAAACCATGCCTTAATCCCCAAAATAGCACAAATGTACATACCAGTTTAAATTCATTGAATAAACTAGACATAGAATCAATTTTAAGTGTGGGAGAGCCATGCTTCGGCACGAATGGGTCGGCTCGACCGGAGTGATACCACGGCCTCACAGAAAACCGGCGTGAAATAACCACAGCGTTGTGTTTCGCCGTGTGAGTGAGGTTACCGGAGGCCCAATCCTTCCCCTCCCCCAGTCCCTCCTAAATCCCTTAATCTCCAAATCCCTAATCCCTAAAAGGTCGGCAACGCACTCGTAACTCCTCCGTTGCGAATGTCCATGGGCGGCGCTGATTGCTTACCATCAGGTAATCCGTCTGCTCGTTTGCCGACCGCTTAAATAAAAAAAAACTGCACTCAACAACTACCTATATACCTATATATCCATAGATATTACCATATAAAAAGCAGCGCTTGTGTTCGTTCATCCCACTCCCAGCTGCCGTTTTCATACAATCCTTCGAAAACATACTCGTCATCGCCATCGTCTTCAGGCATCTTTAAAATATTGAAAAGAAAACTAACAAAATAACAAAAATTATAAAAGAAACTGATTACCTCACCAGAGTATTAAACAAACGCCACACTGACAATAACGATCTCAACAAGTTGGTTATGCGTATTTATACACGAAAAAGATTTGATATTTTTTTTATTTTTAACACATTTAGTGCAACACTTTACGTTCGAATTTTTTTCTTTTCAAGCGAGAAATTCATGAAATAAGTTCTCGCGGCGTTCTCCCACGGCAGGGTGAGTTTGAGCGTCAGACTCTTACTGAGTAAAAACCAGACCGAGGCCTCGGAATGTTATTGCGATTGACCAACTACAGCTAAGCAAAAGTTTTGGGCCCCTTCTATGAGCATATCTAGCCTGTTTAAGGCGGTACGCGCCATACACTCCAGTCTGGTTCTCCAACTTATCCTCCGGGTAGTTCTCACAATGACGCGACCCGGACATTCCCTCTCAATACTCACACAAAAAAAAATATCTCCGGGAATTCCCGTGCCCGGTAAGCACATGTGTCATGCCGAAAGTGAAACGTGGCGTCTCCTAGTCACTACTTAGAGAAAAGTCGTGACCGTTCTTCACTGGTCTACGAAGTCAAATTGAATACATTAGTTTATTTTAGTTGAAAACGCCGTACTTACGGCACTCATAACAAAAACGATTGTCCTTCTGACCTATCTACCTAATGATTTGAGAATACGAGTACTTACATCATAAACAGAATCAGAAAAACAACTTAATAACTTGTAAAATTTTCCTCGATCCTCGTTTCTACAAAATGTTAAAGATTCATCGATGCGCGACTTATGATCTTCCATATTTCAACATCTTATTCATGATTATAATTCATGGACAGCTATAACTTCCAAATCGGAATCTCCATCCAGCGTGTTTGTAAGTTCGGTAGAATTTACGGCGTCACTGGTAAGTTTGCTCTCGGCTTCACTGAATATAAAGTTATGTTAATGTTACTAGTGCATACAACTACGGACCTTAAAACTTATAAAATGTTCTAAGTTATTTCCAATTCGGGATAAAAGCTATTAGGTATGTATTTGTTGTAAACGGAGCGAGCATACGTGTGTGCTTTTACTGGTAAAGGGTAACTTCTTGTAGTAGAGTGTGTAAATTGAGGCTGTATTTTGTAAAACAAATGAAGAAGTACGTTAGCGACTTAGCGTGCAAAATGCCAAACAAGAGTTTATGTAGGTAATTGAAACGTTACCACGAACAGCCCTCTGATTGGTTCGTTAACTTGGAACACACCAATCACAGCGCCGAACGTCATAAAGTTGTCGATGGTGCTAACGTGAATTACACTCGCACTAACCACTCAGATTATTGTAAAATGAAATCTTCTTTAGGTACGTAGGTCAATGTACGCGAGGAAGTAGTAAGAAACTAAATAAGTGCATAGCGCTAGTCCACTTATCGGTCCGTGTTCTTATTCTTTACTTTGTAGAACGGACAATAAAATCACTTACAACTTTACCCGCTCGAATGCAAACATTTGAAAATAAAGTGAATAACAAACTAACAATATTCATACTCTTTATGTTGCTTTTAATTCTGTAAACGCAAAACTAGTTCTGTCTGTTATAGGTATCTATCAAGCTACGTATATATACGTAGCGTAGGCGGTTAAAAAAACTTTTAAACTCAGGAAAAAACAAACAACTACTTATACAGACAGTCAACCATTTTTGGTAGGATATTATAACTACACAAACAATAATACATTTTCGGAACTCTAAACAGATGAAACTTCAGTGTAAAAAGTACTTTTACGCAACTTACACAAGCGAAGCCACAATGCACAGGCAAAACCGTACGCAAAGTATGGTAGAAGCCCACAGAAATTACGGGTAACGTTTGTTGCCACATATTTTTACATGAATAAACAAAAAATTGAGCATGTGTGTCACTTGTGTTAATTCATTGAATTGGCTGCTACACACGATCGCACACAAGGCAGCGACACGTTGCTTTGATCGTGTGCGCCCTGGCATGTGATCAAATGAGTATCTACTTAGTTTAACACACGGTTGAGGATTAGCGCGGTTACTAACAGGGAACCATTAAAACATTCAAAGTAAATGTACCTACGTATCATTAACGCTCCACTTCTTTAAACATTGAGGGTTCAAGAACAAATCTTCTTGATATTTCATACAGAACAGAATACGAATACGTCGTTCTCGTGAGCTAACTGGCGTTCTTTTTTTAAATGAGTTTTTATTTTAAATTTCTCTATTATCATAATTACCATACCTTCACTTTTTATTTTTATTTATTCTTAATATAAGATGCATATCGGAGGAATTAATGCTAGAAGCATTTTCTGCCAGTCATCCTTATTCTATGTGTATAAAGTATATTTGTCCAATTGAAAACTGCCGCTAAAATGTTCAGGTTTAAGAAGAGCACTAACCCGCGCAATTAATATTGATATCAAAAAATGCATTCTAATATTTTGTAACCACGTGACATGTTTTTGAAGTTGCTTAGAAATTATATAGGTATATCTTGTTCTTGACATCATCACACATTATCAGCCTACAAGTGCCCACTGCTGGGCAAAGGCATCTTCTCACTCGGAGAAGATTTGAGGATTAAGCGGAAGGGGTTTCTCACAAACTCCTTCACCATTTGTTGCGGTTGCGCCTAAATAAATAAAATACGTATAACTACACTTCTTCGCCACCTGGCTAGTTGGTACTTGCAAAGTTTCGAACCCTCGCATCATCGAATGAGTTGCATAAGAAATCTCTGAGCCACCACGACATTATCATGTCTTACACCCGGTTTCTGAAAGGCTTGTCAACGCTAAAATTAACTAACCCCCGTTTAAATCTCTTGTCAAGTCATCTGATTGGTTGTTGATAATGCAGTCAACCAAACAGATGACTTGACAAGACTACAAGAGATTAAATTGATTTTAACATTGATCGGCCTTTCGGAAACCGGGTGTTAATGTTAAACAAATACATATATATACTCGTTAATGAATTATAAGTAATATTAAACCCGGTTTATAACCAAAAACAATAAAAACTATTTGAAATGAAATATCCACTGTTTATAAATCCAGCGGGCACCTGTGACTTGTAACCCAATGGGTTTTATTGCCTACCCGAAGCCTTAAAAGGCCCGAAACAAAGTAGTTAATACGAGCAATTTTAGTTCTCCATATCATTTAAGGATAAACTGTTACCAAAATAATATACCATAGTTTCTGCCAGTGGCTTCGCCAGCGGTACCAGGCAAAATAGCCTATTGATAGAGATGGATTATCTGAAATAGTACTATTCCAGACTTTAAAGTACTTTAAACTACTCGTATCTCTATGTCAAATTTCATTCAAATGCGTGGAGAAGTTTTTACTTGGAAGACTTACAAACATCCTTCCATACTTAAAACTTTCGCGTTTATAATAATAATCGAAATTTATCTAAATAAAATTAAGGGAAGGTAAAATCAATTTAAGAGAAATAATTTCTTATATAGTGTTCCTAGAGTTATTTCAAAAAGAATAATCAAGTTCAAAGTATTTTAAACACTTTGTTAAAAAACGATAATTATTATTCCACTTGAAAATAGTCTACAAAATTATGATAATAGATTCACAAAAGTCATCACGCTACATTAGATATCAGTACCTATTGGTATAAAAATCTCCGTTCGGACCTAACAAAAATTACATTCAGCCTACATGGGTATGCAAATAGAATGTCACTTTCAGCTCCACTAACGTTTACCCGCACAAACAAAGCGTACGGTGTAACTGCTAAACCGAACATATTTCTAACTCAATGAACATTCTTCACAAAATTTCAATTGTTTCATTTTCGATGAAAACTAAACTGCAGTTTTATTTGTTTATTGAAAACCTGTGGAAGCCAATATGGTGCACTTTTTTATACAGTGGCGACATCGAAATGTTATTCGTCATAAGTTATGGCTATAACTTTTTATAGAAGCAACATGTTATTTTTTATAATCATTATTTTTAGGGGCTTTTGTTCTTAAATATGTCAGCCCCGTTAAGACATTTTTACTTAGATCTACAATATTAAGACTCAAAGTCTCACTGATGACATGAATATCAGTTATTTAAAATTATTTATTTTCAGCTGATACTTCATTTAGATAATCCTACTGATTCATCAATTCATACGTACAATAGTGGTTTTTAAATTCTCAGATATTAGTTGGCTATCCAGAAAGAAAAATATGTAATTAATTAAAAAATTACAAGCCCATTTATTCCTAGAGTCGACTTTGTAATTACTTACAGTTAAATGGGAGTACATAAATAAAGGTTTCAAGTAGGCTTTCCTAATAATATTTAAGAGCCACCATTTCCTCCTGATGAACTAAACTAGATATTATTGCATCAGAATATCTATCTAGGTTAAAAGCCGGGGAAATTTAATAAAACGCGAGTCGATTGCATTCGATGAAATCAAAAGCCAGTCGGTGTTGATACAAGGATGAAGTACACCTATTCGATGAGAAGCACGTTCGTCGAAGTATAATCCTTTGCCGGGAGCGATGTTCAATCTACTCCGCAGTCATAAACCGGTGTTCCAGGGACGTAAACTGTACTACGTGAGTTCGCAAAGCGGATAGGAAAGACGTTAGTTCTAGTGTTGTGTACATCTGTTTTAAAAGATCCCGCTTTGAGTTGCACTTGTATTAAAACGTTAAACGTTTGAGGAATATCCTGATGTGCATCTTTTGAATTGCAGTGGGTACCTACATTGTATTGTTTACTTTTGTATAGTGACAAATTAATAAAAGATTTAAGAGCAAAAGCGTTGGTCAAATAGAACGTATTAAAATACATTCGTTGAATAGACATTACATAGGCCCAGTGATATATACATTGTGAGTTATGAATCTCATACAGTCTTCATTTTCAGCCAGGTTTGCGGGACAAACGCAATGAGCCTTAGCTCAGAGCAGGAGAAGGAACGAGGGTTTTAGTCAGTAAGAGTCTGACACTCCCTCTCACGTCATCCTGGGCGAGAAAAGTCACTCGATGATTTTCCGCAAACAAAAAAATACAATCTTCATTAAATCAAGTACAAAGTCTGCGTATGTACATCCCTACAACCAATAACAAAATCGATTTAAATACGATACGAATGCAACAAAACATGAAATTAATACTCGATATGGAAGAGACACAATTGCAGCTCTGTCATAAAACATGTTTATGCTTTTAGTAGCGAGATCGATCCGATACTTAGTGTACTAAGTACCCCTCTCGTCTCTTTAGAACAAGTTTATTAGATGCACCCCGTTGCTTCGAGATATTTACTTTGATACTCTCCTGTTCACAGTCTGAGCCTTAGGCACGTCGAATACGATCCTTAAATAAAGTGTAAGGATACAAAACTCTATTAGTCAAAATATTTTAATATTCATAAGAGAATTGAAAGTCTCTTAATCTGATGATAAACTTTCAAAACTAAACATTGATTGCTTGTTTTCTGCAAAGGATTAACTGCACTTGTGTAGTTATGCGATTTGAACTGTATACAGAAGAGGGTTTCATACAATTTCCTACTACGTTGAGGATTTTAATGATATGATTAAAAAAACAAGTATATTTTTTTAAAGTGAGCGCTTCAGTATTTCTTACAGCTATATTGACCTTGGTCGAGCCGATATGAGACCAGTAAAAAAATAGAGTTTCTGTCACCATCTACGCATTTCAGGTTTTTTTTTCAGGAGGATATTCTTTGGCTTCTCCCACCCTGGGCTGGGCTAGAGGAACTGACAAACTTTTAATTGTTATCTATTCATATTTTACGTAACCCTCAAAAGTCAGTAAGTACCTAATCGTATTCACCTCAACATGCTGTCTATGGTCTAACCATCGTCTACAGATATTTTAGGTGTTCCAACATGTCTTAGCGTACATAAATCCTCGATTACCAAACCTTTCTTTTAGTATTATGACAATATTAATTATAAATAAATCAAATTGGCATTTTGACATGCAAGTCACAACTTTCCTAAATATTTATTTAACCTCACAATCGTGGTAATTCGAGACAATATAAGAATAAAAGGTTCGCGAACGCCGGCGTTCGCTTAGGGTTTTATGAATTAACATATTCTTTGCTTATTATACTTTTTAGTCACAAATAAAAACATTACATAACGATCGACCTTGAAAATTTATGTATATTGGGATGGAAATGTTAATAAAATTGTCTTTCAATATCGGAGTAGTATAATATTTATTTAAAAAGTAATTTTTAACATCGTTTACCAAACATGGCTGATGATGAAGATGAGGGAAGTTTTGGAGGCATGTATGAAGATGGCCACTGGGTTTGGGATGAGCATACACAAGCATTATTATTTGTAAGGTAAAGGCTTATGACATGGATTTTACTATAAAAAACGTCCTAGACTAGTCAACTGCTGCAGATAATAATATATGAAATGATATCTCCGAAAACAAACCTAATGGTGCTACAGAATGACTTTTAAGGGGTCCACAAAAAAGATAAAATATATTATTAATTTCAGATCTAAATATTTTTTCTAATCTTATCTATCAGATATAAATATTTTTTTATGCAAAACAAAATTACAGAGATTAAATAGTCCTTTTTTGGAATCTTCTTATTCCGAGACTTGTTTCTCAATAGTTATGGTTGCGGCCATTATACTTAGAAGACAGTTCATGCTTACCTTTTTTTTAAAAAAAAAAAACTTTGCCCCACATTAGGATTTTCTCCTGTGTCGTAGGAGCGGTTACAAACATACAATTTCACATACACATGACACCCAGACCCGGAGCAACAATTTGTGATCACACAAAGAGTTGTTCCGAGCGGGAATCGAAACCGCGACACGTTGCACGACAGCCAGTTGCCCAGCCACCGCACCAACCGTGTAGTCGAACCTTTACGAACCTTTACCTATACCTTTCTAATTTTGTGAAAATGTAGTTTTGTGTTTTCTTATTCAACAGTGATCTGCCGCCAGTAAACATAGAGGCTCTTCAAATAACAAGCAAAGCACCGACTGGCACTATTGAATTCAGAGATGATATTGATTTAATTGAACAAGTAACCCACCATACCTTTCAATTTAATGCAATATAAATATTTAAGTGAATATTCCTTCCATCCTTTGTAATGTTTTTCTTTGTAGCTTCGATATAAACGACGATATCAAAGGAAACCAACACCGGGGAAAGTTGATTTAGTTACCCTACAGGTTTTATTATTTTATCTATTTTCTTTCATAAATTAAATTTTCTTAGCTGGCTTGCTTATTGACCTTAAATGAACACGTCCGGATTCGAAAATTATATTTGACATAATTGTCCAAAATTCATAATACTAATCCACCTAAGTATAGTGATTAAGTACATTCATAGAGATACAGGATAGTTTGTAACTATATAGGTAGCTCTATACAAGTATACAGTGAAGTGACAACACGCCATCAACATCGCATATATAGGTACTTAGATACTTATTTTGCAACTGAAAAGGACGAAGCCATTTTTGCTTTCTTGAAAAATCGAATGCTACTTTTTGTACGTAAGGGTCTTGTACAGTTAGTGTAGAATTTGATATTTAGTTAGTAGTTAGTATTAGGCGAGATTATAATTATACTACTTAAATCATTTTAAGCATTAGGTACACACCATTGATCGATTTTGTAACCAACCAATGATTGTATCTGTTATTAATTATTCTTTGATTTCATACCAAATACTTAATTCAGCTGGCAGTAAACACTACAATACCAATAATCTATTTTCAGGATGTGAAAGACATAGCTTTATACACAGCACCCCTAAGCATATTGAGTCCTATGCTCATTGATATGTTGCATCTACCTACCACAGAAAGGTTTCTCAGAGCTCTCATATTCTGTTGTGCTTATTACTTACAGGTACTACTTATTATATTATATCTATACTAGAACTAACCCATTCACTCCACTTTAAATAATTTCGGCATAACCAAGCACTTGTGAACTTATTAATAGTGTTGTAGTTTAAAAACGAATTGAAGAGAGACCACTCCTATTTCTCCTGCACCCAAAGGTAGACTGGCAGGGAACTCCTAAGGCGTTAAGTCCACCATTGTCCTTTGTGCAAGAAGTGTAAAATGAAATAAAAATAAATAAAATAAAGAGTCCAGATTTCAGCCAGGGTTGTGCGGCAAGCACATTATGGTACCGCGGCGTCTGCCTAAAGCAGGAGAATTCACGGGGGGATTTTAGCCAGTAAGAGTCTGACACTGCCTCGAGAAATAAAATTACAAATATGTTAGATCTGTCTACAAATTATATCAACCTACATAACAAAAGTCAGTGCAAAAATAACTCATTATCATATTACATTTAATACTTTTTGAATTCAACAGTAACAAACAGATAAACACGGCAAAGGATTTTGTGTTAAATTATTTATGAATGTAAGGTGGTGTTGCAAACCTTATACTATCTTTTGTAAGAATAAGGGTTGTCTTAATTTTCTTTCATTTTATCCACTTACAAGTAAACCAGTAAGTTTAAGGACTTCAGTTTATCACTTCTTTAGATAGCAGAAGAAATGACCACCCGCATATTGGACCAAGCAACTAAAATAAGGACTAAGAGATGTGAAGTTTTGGAAAATCAATATCGCGAAAACCTATCGGATCTGAGACTTTTAGTAGCCAAGGAATACTGCATTATGCTTATCGGTAAGTTATAGAAGATATTAGGCACCTACATTATTGCTCGTCAGTGGGCATGTGAGGGGGCAAGTGCAATTAGGTACCGTGGTCCCGGCCTAGAGAGAAGAAGGAACAAAGAGGTTTTTATCAGTAAGAGCCTGACACTCAATCTCACTGTACCCTATGCGAGAGAAATAATTTTATGGTGTTCCCTACAAAAACAGATGAGTCTTTTGATGGTAAGCAATCAGTGTGGCTTGTTGCAATAAGTACTAGAGGTTTGGCAAGTTCGTTTCCTATACAGAAAAGAATAGACCTACGTAAGAATTTTATTTTTTCAAAACTTTATTAAATAAGCTTACAATTTTTTCCCCGTAGTTCACTATTATGAATTAAAAGATTTAGGTACCTACTTCGTATTACTTTCGTGTTTTTATCGTCCAGGTGGTGGAGATATGAGAAAATTTCATCACATGGGTAAGGACAAGAAGAGGCGGTCCTTGTCTGATAAAGATGCTCGGCTATTTGAAACTTTCTTGCGTATATCCGTACAAATTGTCTACTTGGCTCTTGGACGCAGGAATTTTCATCAAATAGGTTATTAACTTATTATATTATCTATATGTTGATAACGTTTCATTACTATTTTAGAATACCTACACACTAATGTACCTATTTACCAACTTAATATAAGTTGCGAGTTATGTAGTTTTTATTTAGAAGAAATTTAACATATTATCTAGAAGCATTAAATACAGGATAGAGAAATAAATCACTTTTTATTAGGTACCATAAGCACAAAATAAACAGTAGGTACCTACCTATAGGCACCCAAAATACCAAACAGCCAACAATACATGCTAAGCAGACTACAAAAGTACCTTTGTAAAACAAAAGACTAATCTTTAAGAGATATTTTCTTCGACTTATTTCAGAGTTGGAATGTCATCGTGTAATGAAATCCGAGATATTCAACACAGTGGAGCACATGTCGAAAACTGGATACCTCTCGAAAATGGCTCCTGAGGAGAAAAATGTTCTGCTGGGGACCTGTTTAAGTCATGACAAGAAGCTCAACACTAAATCCCCGCTCATGAACGAAGTATTCTGTCACAGACCCATCGATTTTCGTTTGATGGGATTAGGAGTTGTCAAATATAAGAGGTAAGGTGTTTTAGGACTACATTTACTTAATCTACTACTTATTAAGGTGCCTGCTTCTCATGCATGAAGACGAGGGTCTAGATAGATAACTTTGTCATCACTGACATAGGGTTAAGGCAACATTGTGAGACAACCTGGACTTATAATTACTTATTATTGTAAGAAATTAAATCGCCAATCTACCTTTGACTTTAATCTACCCTTAACTTTCCCCTCGTAAACAAAAGGCTACAGAACCCTAAAAAGGACAACGATTAAGCTCCGTTCTTTTGTTTTAGAGTAAGCACTCGACTTGACTACTTGTACCTTATCGTGGCTGGACCAGAAGAGAAGTTATTTGAATTGAATATGTCAGTAGGGCTTATTGGCTTGCAACGTTCTCTATTCGACACCATGCTTCGACCTATATTAGGCCAACCCACTGAGAAGTCTAAAGCCTCTGTTATGTTAGTTTACAAACATGTCATGTATTTTTGTAGAAGACCTAGATATTTATAATATAAGTGCTTGTATTTACAAGTGCGTTTCCGATCTATTATCCAAGCATAAGAGATCGAGGAGAATTGTGCCTCCGGTAACTGGACCATGGCTCTCAACGTGAGGAACGCTTAACTAGTTTTGACCCCAGCTTTCAGCTCGTTTGATGAGTAGCGAATTTCCCTATACATCTAAGTACTTTTAAAAAATCTGCAGAATGGTAAGGGACTTAAGTAACCCCAAATTTAAAATGACCTAGTTCGTTCGTATGTTTCTTAGTAGATACCTATTTGTCCAAATTGGAATTTCTTAAATTCACGATTGAGTAGGTTGCTTACCAGCAAGTGTGGTCCATCTTCGACCGCTTCATTATTGATCATGGAAGTTGGTAAAACTCTATAAATACTTAGATATGTAATTTTGTATAATAACTTTCTGTTTGAAGCCGTTACCTATACCTATATGTTTTTTGTAAACAGGTCTTCGAAGAGCATGCAAAGGAAATCTGTGCAAGCACCTCAGAGGCTCTACCCTGAGATTTCACTCCCTCCAAAAGACTTTATAGAGTTAGTATTATAATACAATTAAAGGTAAAATTGGAGATTAACAAATGCGCGTAACTGAAACGTGGCTTTATTTCAAAATTAATATTGTCAGACTTTACTATGGGCATTGCAAACGTTTTGGCTTGAAATAACAGTTTAAAATGCTTTTTCCCATCGCTGATTCAGCTCTGGCGACACCTGTGGGAACAGAAGGCTTAGGGCTGATTTTTCAATAGTCAGATAAATGTTATCTGAGGAATAAAATTGTTGCCCTCACTGTCTTAAACAAACATTCTGACATCATGATCAATCCCCAGATAACTTTTATCTAACTATTGAAAAATTTGCCCTTAGTGTTAGTGTAAGTAGATATAATTACTTTTTTATGGAATAGAGGGCAAACGACCAGATCGAACAGCCGTCGCCCATAGACACCTGCAACACCAGAGGATCAACATGCGCGTTGTCAGCCATTTAAAAAGAAGTAGGTACGCACGTTCTTTGGATGTTAGTTGATAAATAGAAAATTGTGTTTGATTTCAGTACGGACTTGCCATCAGCCTTTCCCGCGAAACCGGCAGAGGTTAGACCAGTCAGTCAGAGCCAGCTTAAGCGCTGGCAAAAGAGATACATAAGACTAACGAAGCCGGCAGCAGCTGCTCGTGGTACTAGCACTTAATTCTTATAAGTTTAATGTTTCGGAGGTAGCGTATACTTACCTCGACTAGATATACATATTTAGCTAGGTATATACTTAATCATTTTTAATACTTATTATTTAGTTTGAATCTTCTTTATAGCTACTCGTTTTGGTTCATGTGTACATGTTCTTTTTTTAATTATACACGTTTATATTTTACTAATATTAAAGAATTATTATTTTAGAAAAAATTTCAATTGTACCTCCATCTTGAATTGAGACTGCAATGGCATTATAACAACCGTTAAAACAAACAGTTATAGTTTATACGCACCTGAATTTCAATTTGAACAAAACGTTCACACATCGTGTGGCCATTAAAACGTGGTTATTGTTTTCATTGCAATAACTAACAGCAAGTTAAGTAACAAATTGCTGAATCACAATCTGAATGAACAACTCCTTCCGCTCCATTTCCCTTTTATTTTCAAACTTCCAATCCAATGAATCGTGCGATTGAACCTATTACGAATAACTTTACCTATCTGTTCATGTGTGAACGGGAAAAATATTCACGATTCCTGGACGATTATTAAACCATGAATTATTTCCGAACGCTACTGTTTATCCAGGTGCTCGTTAGCTTCTTTTATTGGCTATCTTCTGTGTTTTATTATTAATTTCCGCCATTTTGTTTTTAGTCCTTGACAAAATGGTAGTCTACCTACCGTATTCTTCATTCTACCTGTTTTACGTTTTTCAACAATCGATTTAGTCTGTAACTGAATACTCTATAGGGACGGAATGCACTCACAACCTTTCAAAGCCTTATCAATCTTGGAGGATTGTACGAATAGGTCTGGTGAGAAGCCCATCAAAGCAAAACCCATCAATTAAACTTCCCACAAGCATCTATCGTAAACAAATCTCAAAGATATTAGCATCAATGACAACATAAGTGACACTTCACACCTTAAAATTTTGCGTGTAATAAGGTGCGCAACGGCTGTGCTTAGGCCCCTATGAATATTCATGCCACGATCGACGTACGCCTTCACTTTATTCCGTGTAAACACGCGTACGTGTCCTTTCGAGTTTGTCTTGTATTAGACAAATAGAGGTCTACATCGTTCTTATAAATATCTACAACAATTACAGATGTGGAAGGCTTTTGAATATATAAAATGTATTCAAAAACGCATATGAGTATACTTTGCTTAGAACCTAAATCTACCTATACTACAGAAACGGGATGAATGATTATGGCTGGAATCCGTTTAATGGTAGGTGTCTATTGGTGTCAATTTGGCTTCGCAAACTTTTATCAACGTTGGCAAGAAGGAAGTTTGCGCATTTCATGAATTTGGGATATGTTACACCTACTGTCTGCTACATACAGTATCTATATTATTTTGAATAGTAGCTATTGCCAAACAAAATGAATTTATTTAAAAATAACGACTTTGGTAAATTGATTGAGAAAAGCTCGATTAGGTAGTTTTGTCGCGACGCGCAAGCGAGTTAGCTGAGAGAGAGAGAGCAGCGTTCATGAGAAAGAGTCCCGCTATAAAATGTGAAGTTTTTCTTAGTACCTATGTATGGTTTTTTAAGATATTTTAAGAAAAAATATTCGCTAGAGCTAAACACTAATAATAAAATATAAATTATAGCTCTGACTCCCGAGGCTACCTACAAAATAAAAAAAACAAAGTTATTGATTTACAAAACGTTTATTATCCCTCTGTCGCACGTAGAACAGCAATATTTACACGCTTCACATTTCATTTACAAGCAAACTTTAACTTAAATGTTAATATAAGTATATAAAATCATCAGTTCTCACTACGAATAAGCTTTACAACAATGTAACGAATAATTCAGCGGCCTCAGCAACTCGACAATAAATAGACAAAATCTTCTATACAAAATATTAATTAATTATAATAGCTTAAAAAAATATTAATGGCGCAAACGCAATAATATAGGACATAGATACCTATTATTTTGATGGCATCCTATTCCTATAAATATTCATAGTGCCCATAATTAAAATACGCACGGGTAAATTTAAAAATGTATTACAGAAGTCGAGACTGCTGAGACTAAACTACTTACTTTGGCTTTTAGAGTTGTATTAGGCCTGTAGCCACCTCATATAGATTTTCTTATACAAAATTTCAATTATAGTGATCGTAGTAGCTAGACGACAATGCCATAATGGCATTATATAATAATAGGTCTTGTATTTCCCGTACCAGAGCTAACATTGATTATTATAATAAGATATTATACGGCTGCCAGACGATACTTAAGTATATTAACCTAACCTTACCTTTTTGATCAATGAAAAGGTAAAGTAAAAAAGTAGGATCTATTATGATCTCCACACGATCGAAAAAAGGCGTACTCTATTTTTTTAAATGAATTAGTATCAGTTGACCGTTAATGAAATGTTATTGGCAATGGATGCAACTGGATGGTTAATATTATACTGCTCGGTTGCCGTAGTGACTATTGCATCTAATCACGTGTTACGGGTTGGACGGCAAGGAACTCCTGTTTTAGTTATCCTCAAATTGTTGCATTATCTGGGTGTCATTTATAATGTCAGAATTTTTGTTCGTAAACGCATCCAATAGCATAGAAGAAAATACAAGTGCGGGGTAACGATTTTTCTAACAGAAAAAAAGGAAATATGATCATCTTTTAAATACAGAAATAGAAAAATATATCACGTTCCTTTTCTGCAATCGTAATGTGTTAAAAGAGTAAAAGGTAAAGTCTGGCAGCCCCTGTTACCATACACTACTACATAAATATCTACCTGTCTCTATACTAAATCAATGAAATGGATATGTAAAGCTGGAGGGTCCAGGTTTGTACCTACATTACTCAGTCCCTGCCAGCACCATGCAAAATATAATCAGACATTAAAACGACTAGTAATCATTATTTATACTTAAAGTACATTGAACTTATTTGTATCGAAATACGTAGGTACAAGGATCAGATGACGATCGCGTTCAGATGACACGCGCATGTGCCACGTGCCTGGATGAACCCACTTTGAAATTTAAGAGCGCAACGTTTGTCGTTGGAAAACATTCATTAATTACTCGTTTTTTTATTAGCTTTTTTTGGAATGATAAAAGTAATATACAGCAGACATTAGTAGGACATGTTTAAATACTACAAAATAATTCCGAAGTAAAGGAGACCGGCTTCGTTTTTCTACGGAACTAAGTGGCGCTAGTGTAGCATTAAGTCCTTTTAGACATTAGTCTCATAATTAAAGAATGTTCCGTTTCTGGCGATTCCTAATTTATTAGTTAAAATTGCCATTATAATATTTAATCATGTCCACAAACTATGGATGATACAACTCTAGCAAAAGTAAACTAAAAATGTAATAATTTTAACTCGTTTTTTTATACTTTTCTGCTAGGTTAACCGTGCACAGCGTTGGTACTTGACTAACATTGAACGTTAAGAAATAATAATAATAACAAAGCCATACATATATGACTCCTATCGAACAATAAACGGATGTAAGCATTAGGGGCAAAAATGGCAACGTTTTGTCTAAGCCCCAGAGCCCATGAATAGCATTATCATACACACAAAGTACTATAAGGCCATATAAATATAAAGACTCTATTTGCCTCAACATAGGCAAGCGAAGCACTCTTATCCTCCTACCGCCTTTTACTTTCGCAGGTTCATACAAAGTCCTAATGTTAACAAAAGCTAAAGCTACGTGTGTCAATAATATGAAAAACTTAATGGAAAATAAATTCTTTGGATATAGCAGTGGGAACAGTGAGTAGTTCCCGACTGTTGTTAGTATTAAGAACTGTTTGCCGTCCACGTCGCCCAGCACTGAGAGGAAACTGAAACAAAAATAGAATTTATTGTGTATTCCTTAAGGACATTATTTTGTAAGACAAGAGGGTCCAGGCATGTGAAAACACAGGTAGGTACTAAGGGTGACAAAAATGCATGGAGAGCTTAAGGTCGACTATTGACTGACAGGTTTTGCATAATGCAACCATTGATAAATAGATGGCGCTGCTTTTAAATGAAATTAACCCTGCAAAGCTTGAATACTTTACACTGCAGAGGCACACAATAAGGTTTTTAATGGTTAAAATAATAATAAAAAACAATAATATATTTATATTCAAATACACATAAATTATGTAAATTTTCTCATTTCCGAGGACTTAATATAGCGCCATCTAAGTCAAGTCAAGCAAACCAATTAAAAGATGGCGTCAATAATTAATAATAGACAATAATAAAAGTTATAAACTAACCAGCATTTTCGACACCTTAAAAAATGCGATCGGTAGTTCGGATGAATAAGAATGATAGAATAATGAAGTCGAAGGGCACCGGTTCAATACCGGGTTATCGTTTTTAAATTCAGGTTTTGTTTAACAATGGTTTTTTTTTATATTTTTTTAGTAAAATCAATAATAATAATACATAAATAAAATATTTGACGTTTAATATTTATAAATGATAACAAAAATAAATATATATAAATTTTTAGGATAAAATTATATTAATAAATATATAAAAATAACATTTATTATATGTGCCTAACTATTAATGTAAAAGTAACATATTTTTCTTACAGATTAAGACTTATACTAAGTTTAATTCTCATAAAGGATAACAAATAAAACTATTTTAGTGACATTATAATTTCAGACATTTATTTCTTAAAACATAATATTTATTTCTTTCTTATATAGTGTATACCCTGACCTAATAACTTTTCAGCTAACTGACACATTATTTATTACAATTTTTATAAGGTTAATAAGTATTTTAAATCAAAATTGTGTTGTGCTAGTAATTTATTAGTTAGTTTTAAACACAATGTTATAATATAATACGATTCTATATGTATAATATGCAACCTTACTTCTGCAACTATTTTACCTCCCCATAAAATTTAATTAAAGTATTGACTAAAGTGATTCATTTTGTGCAATCATGTTATGAAAAGGCTTATAGCTTAAGTATTCGTTCCAGAACAAGGAAGAAATTGAAGCTAGACCTTAAATCAATAACATTTCTAAGATCGGGATATAGCATTCATTAGATATGGGACGAATTGTTTATAGTAATTATTAAATAAATAATTTATTATTTTGCAATCAATAGCATCTGTAGATATTAAAATTGCTTTTATTTTTATTTCTATTAGTAATAAAAATATTTAGTAAGACATTAAAATCATAACTGTAAATAACAGTTGCTGGTTATAAAGTAGTCAATAAATTTATCCTACTAAAACTAAGTTTGAACATTTATCCATTAAATAAATTATAGCTACCCCGGTCTTGTAATTGGTTAATCCTATAGTCAACAATATCTTTTCTTCTAAGAACTAGTGTAGCCGCCATTTTTGTCGATCCTATTTCTCCTATCTCGCTGGCCAAGGAATAATCCGTATGTCTGATTGCTGACTAAACACTTGCACGATTATGGAACATTACACATAGGACAATTGTCCTGCACGAACGTTATCACTAGCACATCTTCATGGCGTCATTCAGCACATCTATGTAGTTTTCACTGTTTGCATCATTGTTGCCTTGCCCCATAAGTTGAAGCTGGTCTGAGTCAATATCACGTCTTCTGCCATCCACATCCACTACGGTGCTCCAATGAACCCTCTTCTTGAAACAGCTTTAGATATCCATAAAGTGGCAGTCTTTACCTGTAAGGGACGTGTATTATTTATTATTTTCATGTATCGATAACCATGAATAATAAAATAAATAACGAACGGTCATTTTAAAAGAATACTTACGTTTAAGCCAGTTTCTTTCGAAATTTGAGTATAATTTAAGCTTTGATTATGCAATGCTATTATTTGGGCCCTCGTAGCTATATCAATATTTGATCGCAAACTCATGATAAAAATTAATATTAAAAACTTGTTAAACAAATCGTAACTGAACTCACTCAAAGATAGTAAAGAATGTTATGATTGAACTAAAAGGTTTAATTTTTATACAGTTAATATTTAATTACCCTCAACTGTTTTGAGATTTATGATCGAGTTATAGTTGCTAAACAACTTCAATATAATAAAGAGTAGGATAATTTCAATACATTTCAAGGTTACGCAATGGCCTAATGGCTAGTGGCATCGGCAAATTTTATGCTACCGAGTTCGAATCCTGGTTAATGCGTGCTTTGCTTTAAAAAGGTTTGGAATATCGTAGCATTAATTTGTGTAAAAAATTATTAAGTTAATAACTTTGTATCTGATAAAAACTATAAATGTATATTTTTCAATACCACTAGTATACTAGCGCCATCTATGTCATCCATGGTATATTATTAAGGCGATGAAACGCCGTACAAACGATTTTGATTTGGAATCCTCCATGCACTTATGACACTGATAGTACTTGCAATTTCTCAATTTTGGTACTGTCTTGATTTTTTGCGTTTTGGATTAACATATTTTTTGGAAAATATTGCTTTGTAACAAACTATACTAAATGAGTTGAGAGCTGGTCGGATTACCAAAATTTTTTCTCTGATAGATGACTATAATGTTCCGGAGTGCTACATGCTAATATTATAAAGAGGTAAAATTTGTAAGTTTGTATGTAGGGTATCTTTGGAACCGCTGGACGGATATCCAAAATCTTTCACTGATAGATAGCTACAATGTTCTTGAGTGCCATAGGCTATAAAACATCACGCTACTATTAAATGGAGCCAAGCAGCGGGTGAAACCGCGCGAGAGTAGCTAGTATTATATAAAAATCAATGCTATTTTTCGTTGTAATGTTATAACTCTATATATGCCTTTATCGATTTGGCTAATTTTGGCCTTTAATTATTCGTGGAAGTCCAGAGAAAGTTTTTACGAAAAGAAAATTTAAAACAATATTGAAAAAATGTAAATTCAATATCCACGCGGTCGGAGCCGCGGGCGACCACAAGTTGGCTATAAAACATCAGCCCGCGATCAAATGTATTGTGATGTATTGTGATGTATCACCTCTTTCATAATAAGTTACTGGCCGGTAAGCCAGTGAGCTTATAACCAATTGTGTCAAAATTATATTATTAATAAAATAATCGAGATGTAGACAATAATGCATTTAATGTATAATATTCTATAATATTTTTTACTTACGTCAACGGTACCAATATCATGAGTATAGCTTTCTCGTGAACGTGCCAGCCGAACAAAAAGGAGCATGCCGCACAAACCACCATACACCTGTTAACACAAAAAACTAATTAAAACCATATAATTAAAATAACATACTGAAGATAATATTATGTTAATTTTTAGTATCGTGAATTCGGAAGCATTCGGTGAATTCGTGATGGCACGATGGAAAATGCTTCTATAAATACATAGATGGTATAAACCTTTGTTAATTTGTATGTGATAGGTCGGCTACCAACGAACGAATGTGATCCACATTACCTAATGGTAAACAATCTGCGCCGCCCATTAAGCTACCCACAACAACGCAGAAGTTACGAGTACGTTGTCGATATTTTGGGTTTTGAGTTTTTGGAGATTTAGGGATTGAGGGGTTAGAGAGGGATTGAGGGTATGGTGAGAGAGTGGTGTATAGAGAGGGATTGGGGGAGCAGAAGAACGGGGCATCCGGTAAAACAACGGTATGGTTATTTTACCGGCCGGCCGGTTTTCTGTGAGGCCGTTGTATCCGACCCATTTTGTGGCAAATCACAGTTAAAATTTGATAGTTGTGTGCAAAAACTCTGTTATCTCTTCACGTTTTAGAAATTGCTCATTGCTGCTGCTAATTAGTTTGCCTATATAATATATTAAATCTATTTTATTGATATAAGTAATTTTACAACATACCTTACAAAACTTAACACCCTGTACCTCCTGTCAGCGCACAAATGCCATAGTTTAATGAGTGCTGGTATCATCGTCACAACAGTCAAGACTATCGTCATAGTGGGAGTGATTGATGGTAACACCGCATGATCATATTGCTGTACCAGCCCACCTGTCATGGACGCCTCAGCTTTTGGGATCCGCAGTAAACCCAATTTTGTACCTAAATAAAATGAAAGAGAAAAGTTGACGTGAAACATTAGACATTAATAATTAAGTGTTTTTAACAACCGAGGAGTTGGTTTTTTAAACGCGTCCTCATATCATCAGCCTAAAATGCCCACTGCTGAGCTCACATAATCAGCCTATAAGTGCACACTGCTGAGGAAAGGGTCTCACACAGAGAATGATTGAGTATTGATCATCAAACTTGCTCACAGACGATTCGCGATTAACTTATAATTAAAAATTATAAGTAAAGGTTCCCTTGACGCAGCCTCACTAATTTTATACACCCGTCAGTGCATTTGCAAACATTTCACAAATTTTGTAAATCACAAAAAGAGTTATTCTACATAGGAATTGAACTGGATCAGTAACTTTTAATTTACTTTACTTAAAATTCTATGATACCTACTATTCCAAATATTTATGTTTTTTCCTTACCTATATTTTGTAACACCTTATCAACAAAGTTGTAAATAGCCCAAAAGTTTGGCGCCCAATAAGCATGACACAATCCTCTTTTGAAGGGAAATAGTCTTGAAAGTATCTGAAAACAAAAAAGCCTATTATTAAAACAACAATAAGTTGCAAAAAAATACTTTATAAAACTTTCACAATTTCTGACTGATTAAGTTGCTGATAGGTGAACTGACACATACTTTAATGCAACTTGCATGGAATATGCAGAAAATAAAGAAGCAACATCAAGAAACAGATGTCTCAGTAGTAAAAAAATTACATCTCACCTGTGGAATATGATAGATAAAAGGTCCAAATGATAGACCAAAGACAAAAATCACTGTAAATGCCAGTTTGAACAGATTTGTCAAAGAGAATGAATACCAAGGAGTATGGACACCATCAACTGAAGATATTGTAAAACAATATGCCCTGAATAAGTACACAATGTACACAGGAGCCACATATAAAAATATGTGCTTCAAATTCAACAGCACTGCAAACCAAAATGCTGCTATCAGACAATTATTCTGAAACAAAAACAAACTTTTATAAATAAAAAAAACTGAAACATTTTATTAGAAATTGGAATGTATTTCTATAAATTGAACTTTAATATTATTTGCAACATTAGTCTAACAAAACAGAGGTTTTAGTAGACATTAGAATAACCTGTAGTGTCCTAAACCAAATTAATGTAATACTTAAATGAATTGAGTTAGAATGTTATTAAAAACATGTTATTATACATGTGAAAGTGGGTTTGTCTTTTTGTATTTTGCAATATGAATTTTGTTTTACAGGATGGTAAAGAGACTAGTGATGATAAAGGGTACTTTAAAAGCAACATATAATGGCTAGTAAATATTACATAACAACAATAAAACTGAAAACTTACTTCTATGATATGTGATATGGAATACAAAAGGATTCCAAACAAGAATCCATTGTACTGGAAGTGGATGTGGTCTATCATCAATAAACTTGGACAGGACATCAGTAGTATGAATACTAGAAGTTTCCCATCACCGATGAAACCTGACAACCTGGAACATATTTTTTAAATTTATATAATAATTGTGTTTGCCCGCAACTGTTTGCATCGAGTAGTGACTTCCTGCAGATCTTTGATTTAATAACTATCTAATGTCCATTCTCGAGTTCCAAACTATGTCTGCACCGAATTTCACAGAAATCGGTTCAGTAGTTTAGGCATCAAGAAAAGACAGACAGACAGAGTTCCTTTCGCATTTTTAATATTAGTTTGAATTTTAAGAGAAACCTTTTTAAAAAAAAACTTTTCAAGTACAATATGAGCCATACTGACCTTTTTACACTGTAGATATATACAAAATCCAAAACAATAACTGATAATCTTTGGAATAGTATAGTCATATCTGATTTGTAGTTTAAATTAGTTAAGTAAAGCATTTGCGGGTCAAAATATTTTGCAACAAATGACATTACAAACTCCAGCCATGCAAAGAATGGTGGATAATCCAATGTCCATTCAGATGTGTTGTCATAATACCATTTGTCTAGTGTCAAGTTATGAGTGATTGCCAGCCAGTTACGATGGACTTCAAAGTCTGTTGAATGACTGAAAAAGATTTCAACACCAATTTTAATATCACCAATTTATTTTAATCAAGTTCTTATTTATTTTGTTAACGTTATAAAGTCAGTATTTCAAGGGTTTGGTATACCGGACGTTGAACAATTATTAATTATTGATAAAACAACATTTGATAAGAAAAGTATGAATTCTAATCATTGAGGTGAAATGACAATTAGACTGAGTTTTTATACTTACTACAGAGGAATAAATAATAATTTAACAGTTGTAACAATTACTACTATTTGAGAAATCATTGTAAACAAGCCGGTTGTCTTGATCAATTTTACAAATTATAACCCAAACTTATATCTTAATGCCACAATGCGTAGTTATTCATAAATGCACGTTTATATTCTTGAGAATATTACAGCAGCAAGCAGACATGTGTGTCCTTTTTACATTCCAATATTTATCTGCCATACCAACAAATAAGATAGAGTTTATCCAAATCCTTTTCGCTAATTTTACATTGTTGACGATATGACGTTAACTAATTGACGTTGACTTTGTTGACACTATAGCTTTCAAACTGACATTTTATTTTTTATTTTACTTGAATCATATTGGAGTCCCACAAGAATAAGACCCATTAAAAACTTTTAATAACTTTAAAATTGCAATAGTAAAATATTTTTATCCCAAGAGTCAAAAGCATATATATAAAGGGTCCCCAGTGTTGGAATGATATAATCACTCAAGTTGATATTTATCGAACAGTGAATACTATACTGTGTCAAATTATTATACTAGGTAACAAAAGAATGAAAGTTAGTAAAGTATGAATAATATCTTTGAAAATTTTGAAATATTACTATCTGGGTGCACTTTAATGCTACTCCCTATATTGGAAGCCCGGAAACGTCTTGCCTGATACGGGTCGACGTGAGGATCGTGTTATTCACAACTACTTATGTGTAGTGATAATGTACTTTTTTTCTTTCTTGTAAAAATCATCATCATCATCAGCCTATAAGTGCCCACTGCTGAGCAAAGGCCTCTTCTCATACGGAGAAGGATAGAGCATTAATCACCACGCTTGCTCAATGCGGGTTGGCGATTTCAAACTTATAATTAGAAATTATAAGTCCAGGTTTCCTCGCGATGTTTACCTTCACCGTATGTCAGTGGTGTCTAAATAATCATAGAAAGTAACTCGGAAAAAGTTACATTGGTACTTGCCAGGTTTCGAACCTACACCCTCATGCATGAGAAGCGGGCTGCTTAAAATATAGAGTGTAAATTCTAATAAATTGAATTTATTAAAATTAGAAAAAATATTTACTATTATTTTGTGTGTTCATTTCCTTTCACAGGATCACACGATCCTGGACCTTCGGAAGGCATACGAGAGGCCGAAGCCAACTGGCAGACGGCCGTTGAAAAACTTTATTATAAGTGAAATGGGACATCTGCACTACGAAAGTGCACCCAAGGAAAGGATAATTGGTTGATGCAGGACTATTGCGAAATATGGTAATAATTGAAAGGGTTATGGGTATGGGTTTCTATGGACCCATGGTGAAGAGAGCCCTATGAGAAAGAAGACCCCTATGGTAAATATGATAACTATGGAAATACTGTGTACCGCCCTGACCAATATTGATACACACGGATAAATAGGCAGGGGTTGACTGGCAAATTCAATATTAATGGACCCCTGGAAACGGCCGCTAGTATATAGCGACACGAGGCCAACATAAGTTGAGCTGCTTGGGGAAGGACAGGCGTCCCACCAGGCTATCAGAGCAATTCCGGAAGAACGGTCAAGACTCGAACCAGCACCTTACTGAGATAGGTACATCCTTCCTCCGAGTCTCCTTCAACTCCTACTCTTGCGAATCTTCACTCAAGCCAGCCAATTAAGGCCAGAATGGGGTAGGAGGGCTCATTCCTCATCAGTGTTCACTCCAGCTAGTCACGAGGACTAATTGGAGATAAGGAACCAGATAGCTCCCGGGTGTTAGGTGCGTAGGGTCGCCACTGCTCAACAGCTCGCCACAAGCTGCCTTGCGGATTTATTATTATTATGTCTTTACCAATTACGGGACCACAGAGTCCCGGTCATTTGGGAGGCGTACGAGAGGCCGGAGCCAACTGCGCAGAGGCCCATAATACAACTTTAATCTAAATAAAATCGGCCACAAACCGGCGACTGTCCCTATATGCACTATGTAAATGCATCCAAGGATAGTTGGTTAGTGTAGGACTATTGCGAATAATGGAAGCAAGTGATAAGGCTATGGGTGTAGGTTGTTATGGACTGGTATGATGGCAACTGTGGAAGGACTATGGCACCTGCCGAAACAATGTAATAAATAACACGTAAAAATGGCAGATGGAGACTCGTCAATTAACCGACTGGGCCCTCGGGAATTCTTCGCCCATCTCTATCACTCCTTGTAAACCTTCAGGCAGAAGTATAATAACTCTTGTAAAAGTGTTATTATTTGTAAAAAAATGGTATGCAACTATAAAGGAGTGTTGCCAACATTTTCGGTTCCGGTTATAGTGGGCAGGGATGTTACGGACCTCCGACTCCCATTCGGAACTTCCGATTGATATTACACATCTGGTTCCGCCTTCGGCTCCAATAGTTTAAATCGGAAGTTTTGTTCGGAGGTCGAAGCATAGCGGCGGTCGCGGTCAACACGTATGAACATGTTTTTGCAGGTCGCGCAGCCCCACTCTTTTTCACTTTTATTTATTAAATATAATATGCTACTTTTAGAGTCAATACATTAGATTTACTCTCTTGTTTATTTTTAAGAAATTCGGATAACCATATTATTATGACATTCCTATTTTAAATAGCTGGGTGTGCTGAAACATAATTACAATATTTTTTATCGTTTTTAATTGATATTAAAGAGGCTCCGATTCCGGTTCCGGTTCCGAGACCGATAAACTCCGATTAAAAAGGCTCCGATTCCGATAAAACCACTTCCGTAACATCCCTAAATTAGTGGGGATTACCCTACTAATCTACTACCTATGAAACGAAAAAGTAAACAGAAAGGGTTACAATTAGAGCCAAAAAAATTCGCAAAAGGACGCAACAGCTGAAATAAGGAATAATAAATACCTACCTAGGCATTTCTATAGGAAACAATAGGCTATCATATCAGACTTATGACAAATAAGTAATTCGCTTTTGTCTAAAAAGGACGAAACAGTGGAAAAGCTAAAATTTTCTTTGAACGATAATATGCAATTTAAATAATAGATTGGTTGAAAAAACTAAAAAATGGTGTTTATTTAATGAGTACCTAGTTGTTTGTTAACTGATTGGATGATATAATTCATTTCATTTTGATATCAATGCTCTCCCCAACGAGGAATGTTATGACGCTTTGTTTGCCTAAGGGAATTATTAAAAGCTTTATGCATTTATAAAAATATGAAAATATTTATTTCTTTGTAATCTTTTTTTACATAATTTTACATTATAAAACAACCACAAACAAAATAAAAGAGAAGAAGAGAGTATTAGGCAAGAAATTATAAAAAAGAAATCATGAAACCATAAAATAAAAAAGAATCAATATCATAAAGGATTAACCAACAATATATATTTTACCTTCATAATTATGTAACAATAGTAAAATAAAATTTATTTTTACCAAACAGGTATTTCGCTTAGAATTAGAAGCACCTATTATTTTAGTCATCATTTAGTCCAAATAAATCATTAAATATTTGATTTAGACCAAGTTCTGTCATTAATTTTGACAGTTCACTCATGTTTGAATGTTTATTATTAACTGGATTTGCAAGACAAAGTTCTTCAAAACTTGAAAATTTTTTAAATGTATTTTCTTCACTAGGCTCAAAGATTTCTGTCTTTCGAATCATTATTTTCTTCCAAGTCATTGATTTAATGTCTTTCCACCACTCTTTACAATCACTGTGATGTCCTTCAACGCAAACAATTCCAGGCTTTCCCGCCAACAGAAATCCTGTTAATTTCAGTTCTCTTGCTTTTTTAACAATTTCTTCCCTTTTCTTTTTATTATAAATATGATGTGAATAAATCCAAAGCCTTGCAAACTCATCCTTAGTTTCTTGACTAGACTTTGCTGGTAACATATTGTTTTCTTCTGAAATTAATGCAAATTTATCAACATTTTCTTGTAACCATGAAATGGCTGTATAGAGGCACACTTCTCCTATATGATTTTCTTTTATATATTGTGAAAGCTGTGAATTTATAGCTGATTCATTCTGACGATTCATTTTATTACATCTTACATAAATGTCTGGTTCTTCTTTTGGGTAAGAGCTGGGTAAGTTAATAAATATTTCTAACTTGAGACCATCTACAAGCAGATTTAGTTTGAAATCTAGATGTGGAGGGATATAATCTGTTTTATTGTCTATAAAACTCCTTATTTCGTTAACATTATCTTTGTCACTTAAATTAATTTCTCCTTGATTTGGATACATAGATTTCAGTAGCTCATATTCATCAATTTGTTGCGATAAGCAATCAACAACAACTTCTCTCATAGCATTTTTTGGACTCACAGCCATTTCTTCTTCTTTTAAAAACTGGTGAGTTATGGATTATAATTAATGTAGAATTTAACTTCCAGATAGCACTTGGCTAAACAGGAAATTAATTGTTTAAGTTTACAGACACCTCGATAGCCACAACATTGAGCACAGTCCCACCCACCACAAATCCACAAGTGACATGTGACAGGTTGATAACAACAACAAACTACAGTGAAGTCTGTCTAATGTCAAATTTCAACGACATTCTATAAAATAAAAATCATTGTCGTTGTCAATCACGGAACAGAAAGAACTGTTTTTTCTGTTTCGTGTTGTCAATGAATGGTGTGTGCATTTTTATATTTCCATTCCTCCATGGTTCATTTATAATATATTCTCAAACTAGTTTATTATAGCGTGACATTTAGTGAAATACTATAGGTAGGTGTATATTTATTATATTTAACTGTAGGTAATAATAATAACAGTAGGAATTGAAGTAGACTCGGGGGGATATCTCAGTAGGAGTTTTGACTGTACTTCCAGAATTGCTCTAATAGTCGTGGGATGCCTCTTCTACCTCAAGCAGCTCAATGTATGTTGCCCCCCTGTTGCTACATGCTGGCGCCCTTTCCCCGTCACCCCTTGCCTGTTTATCCATATGTATTGTATCAATATTGATCAGAGAACAGGCCATAGTGTTGCAATAGTAGACAGAAGCAACACACACACAAATACACCAAATTTTACCGCCACCGCAACACACAACAATTAATCCTAAAATGGATCAGGGCCCACAGGGGCAATTTTGCCAACGAGGCTGCCGATGCTGCGGCAAAGCTGGCGACGCTGCTTCACAGGATGTAGGACATTGAGAACAATACAGCTTGTTCGTAAAACGTACGTAAAACAGAACTTGAGAGGCGTACTATATGTTCATCGAACAGGGACAGCTCAACAAAAATATTTTCCCGTATCTAACCTACATAACACATTTTCAAAAACATACAGACATACACTTCCACACAACACACATACTCACCAACCACAGCTTTCACAAGGCATACTTACACCGGTTCTATATCACACACCGACGGATAGTCTGTCCTATCCGCGTTTCCTATGACTATCCGAGTTTGCTGTAGAGCCTGACACGAGTCTCTGTGTATTCACCACGCTACTGATCCGTATAGTGTGGCCGACCTCGTAATGAAAAAAGACACAATGGCAATCTTTACGGACCTTGCTAGTAAAAGTTCCCAAATTTAAAAACCTACAATGGCAGGTGATCCAAATACATAATCTACTAGTACAATCATATTTATCTACCTATTTTCGCTCGACCTAAATGAAATTAAAGTTTGAAATATGGTCATCACACTTTATGTTTTTTGTAAAACTGTAATGCTGATAACCATGATATGGCTATCCGCATTACATGATGGACATTGTCCATCGTTCATATCAAGGGGCCGTAGGTACATGGCCATGAATGCCACAAATCCCCGTTTACCCGACATGAAAGTCCCCATTTTGAAAGCCTCAATCCTCAAATTCGTCAACCACGCCCTGCAACAAAAAAATACTATCAGGCACAGATTGCTAACCATCAGGTGCTTACGATCTGATTATTCGTTTGCGCCCCTTTCTCAAAACAAATGCGCTCTTAGTGCACTTGGGCGTTGGTCGCTGAAAAAGACCTAATATCGTTAATTAGCGCATAATATTGTTAATTGATTGCAGAAAATAGCAGAATTTCAATTATGACGACGACAATTGAAATGTTCTTTTATCTTGTAACATCTATCGAATCATTAAAAAAAAAAAAATAAGTGTGGGAGAGTCATGCTTCAGCACGAATGGGCTGGCACGACAGGAGCCACGGCGTCACAGACGTCGGGGTGAAACAAAATCAGTGTTGTATTTCGCCGTGTGAGTGAGGTTAACGGAAGTAGAATTGTTCCCATCCTCACTCCCCATTCCCTAGTCCCTTATCCCTAACAAACCTGTGACTCCCCTGGTGCTGCAGGTGTCCATTGGCTGCGCCGATCACTTATCATCAGGTGATCAGTCTGCTCGTTTGCTTCCTATTCCATAAAAAAGGCGGTTACGGTCATGTTCCGGTTATTCATAAGCGCGCCAATTGCTTACCATCAGATAATGCTTTTGCTCGTTTGCCGATGTATCACAAACAAACGGTTTATTATTTTCGACTAATGAGTTATGTGGTTATATCCTCTATGGTTATTTGGTTATTTTGTACAACACTTGTACGATCCATTGAGATGTCAATAGTACAATCTGCTAAGACAGTGTCAATGTCATACAAAATTTGTTTACAATATTTTTTGAACCGAAACGGGAACTCCTAAACTCCTAATACATGTTGTACGAAATGTTTCTATTTCCTTAAGACAGGATACCATATATATGTATTTGTCTCACTAAAACTCTAAAATGTATCACTGTGGAATGCGGCAAGTGGGCGAAAGACATGTTGCTTATAAAGTTGATTTGATGGTATGGAGTAACCGGCTTGACCTCTTAGCGCTAAGCAATTTCAAAGGTAAATATGTACTATTTGAATATTATAATTATTGTTTAGAAACAGGCGTTATTGACCATGTTGTCAGTCAGGACATACAAATTCAGTAATATAAACAATCATCACCTAACGCATGATGTTCGATTTCAGGTGAAGTTCAAATTCATAGACTCCATTGGCAAAAAGTGTGGAATTTGCCACCTCCTAAGGAAAATGTTACAGTTTGTGCCATGGCATGGAGGCCTGATGGAAAGGTTAGGACCACAAATCTTTTTGTATCATTGTGTTTCTTTTATAAATTGCTTGGAATGTATGTTAGTCCATTATGTCTATTCATATTATTTTTATCTTAATTTTGTAGTCATATTCATTAATCATAACATATGCACTACTGAATTAAGGCTCATCCTCAAGTATCATCTCTTGTAATGTAATTACTAATAATTCAAATTAAGCTTCATAATATTTCGTTGTGTTCGTAATATTTGGTTGTGTTGTGTGTGCAATTATTTTCTGCCCTTTGCAGGCTTTAGCAATTGGATACAGTTCAGGAGCTGTGTTCATTGTGGATATTGAAGACAAAGAAATATTAGACAGATATGATCTGGAACAAGAGGATCCTGATGAATTTGATACAAACAGATTTGGTATAACATGCATAACCTGGGCTGTGAGGTCTGATACACTTGAGAGTGCTACTGATCCTAATGTTTATGTAAGTAAACTCTGTATCTCACATATTATATATATTTATGTAGTATCAGAATATATATAATTATACTTCCTAATTTTCAGGATGACTCTTCAATATTTTTACAAAACTTACCATCATCTAATGGTAATAGCCAAGGTACTGAAGAAAATATCAAAGATTACAAAGAATTCCATCCACCAAATCAGTTGAATATGTTAATGGTGGGCTATGGAACTGGATACATTTACTTGAACATCTTTGGGCGGTATCCCTTTGGCACAATCCACCTTGCTCAGGTCGCTAAAGATGATTTTGGAGAATATAAAGTACTTGATATTTGTATGTCAGATGACTTCAGTATGATGCAAGTCCTCTATCTTGATAGATTGACTAGCCATCTTTTTGTTTCACTCATAAACACCAGCGTACTATCAGCATTTGCTGAAGAAATGTATATTGTAGCCAAAAAGCATGGTGATATTGTAAAGATGATATCATATTTGGATCAGACAATGATTTCAATTACTGAGGCATGGGAACATATTTTGTTGGAAATGGATACAAAAATGGCTGACTATGCTGCATCAGTCCCTGAGGGTGGAGTTTCTGCTGATTTATTGGAACTACTCATGCTAGGTGAGTATCTGTTTACAAACAAACAAACATGTTTTATTAGTGGAACAAAATTGTAAAGAATTTTATATTTCCACAGGGACACCATCAGATGAGCTAGAATTATGTTTACTGCAAAAATTAACAGTAAATGATTTGAAAAAGTTTGGTAACTCCATTGAATTGAGTTACTCAACCATACAGAAATTGGTCCTGAAACAGCTAAATATTGTGGGACAGAATTTAACATATTACCTTTCTGAACTTAGGGGACTTACAAGGATACCTGATAGATATCAGGTAAGACTAGGGTTAGCATAACTTTAAGACATCTTATTATTCTGAATTCTTCTTTATTAATATTTATACTTTTTAAAGATTTTGGGTATAGAAGAATCTACAGTAACTGAAGCAATAAGAGCCTGCTGTGCATTTCTGAACAAATGTTTAGAGTTACAACAAGTTATTGACACATCAATGCGCAACTACAAAGCATTTTTCAGATGGCTTTTTGTAGTCATAGTTAGATTGCTAGGTGAACAAACCCCAAGTGAAATAGTCAAGATCACTCAACAGGAACTTGGTCACATTGCAGAATTTTTATACAACTTTGACAACGTTCAAGTTGAGAGTGCTGAAACATTGCCAGAGAAACCTGTGAAATTCAATCTTGAGAGGTTGGGTCAGTACTTGGAGGATCAGGAGCTGACAATATTGCCCGAAGACGAAGACAATGCATGGCGTAAATTTCTCAAAGAAAACTCCTGTTTACTAAAAGACAATGATACAATATTTTCTCTAACAGAATTTAAAAAATTCTCTTTAGTTCAACAGCAACAACATTTAAAATCAACAGTTGGCCAAGTGTTTGATATTTCGAAAAAGGAAACAGGTAGATTTATGTCGCCAATATTTAATATAAAATGTTATGAAGACAAATCTGGTGGGAAATTAAGTGAAAACTTGAAAATTTGTCAAGCTTATTATGAATCTGAGAGTAGCTTTGTGACAGCATTTGTAGATTCTATGAATGTAAATGATGGAATACATTTTATGTCTATAAAGATCAAAGATAAGACATGTGCAGTGACTGCAATGAAATACACATTCTCGACTATTATTTTAGGTGATAAAAAACCAAATGATGAGCTTTTATCAGTATTGGATTTGCAATTCTATTCCCCTGAGTATTTATCAGTCTTGACAACACATCCCCATAATGAAGAAAGTTCTATATTTATTCAGTTGCCCTTAGGAATTATTCAAGTCAATGCTCCTGAATGTGTTTTAAAGCCAAAATTATTTTTGTTCAATGAAAAAGTTAACAAAAAGAACATTTCACCTTTAATTGAATCAGGTGTTTTTAAAGTTTTAGATAAAATGGATGGTTTTCGGATAGCTGTGTCTGGGGGTCGTAAAGTAGCTGTTGTTCTTTCTAAAAGTTATAGAAAAGTGAGAGTGTTTGAGATGGAGATTGATGGTGATGATGAAGAAGATGAAACATTGGACACTACAACACAGTCACAAAGTACTAATGATCAGTCCACATCTGAAAAACAAAGTACAAGTGCTGTAGCTGATGTAACTTTCTAAAAATGATCATTTAGAATAAGTAAAATAAATTCATTAATAAACTAAAATAAAAATATTTTATTTCACAGTATACTCTTACTACTAACTAGATTAATTATCTTAATTACAAATGAGACTTTTCTGACTAAGAAAATTTAACAAAGTTGATTTTCTACTTTAGTATTCATTAATGTATCACAAGTATGAAAGTATAATAAATTTTCTTAATTTTTAAAACTAAATCAGACTTGCATTTGGTGACTTAATTTGTATATTTTCGAACACTGAATTAAAGTCTGTATCTAAACCTTGGTTGTCTATTCCATAGAGTAGATGTTCAGAAGATTGATTCCTACTTGGGCCTGCAACTGGCTGGCTTAGTTGTCTTGGTGGTGGTTGTGATGGGGTAGTTGTACGGTTGTATATCTCATCTCCTTCACCCTCATCGTCATCTACATCATCCACTGAAATTTCATTAAAAAGAGTTAAATTATATTTAACAAATTTTAGCACTGAGAGATGTTATTTGTGAACAAAATCTCACCTGGCACAATTCCTCTGCCTTCATATCTCTTCCAATCTTTTCTCAAGTTATAATAGAGCACAGCACAGCCAATAATGACCACAATAGACACAATAATTGCAATAAGCTTCACTGCTTCTATAGCCGTGAATGCTGAACCGCTGACTATCATGTCCACTTGCCCCACAGTGTAACCAATCCCATTGACTTTCTTAGAAATACAGTGGTAGTACCCAGAATCTCTGGCAGACACATCCTAAAAACAATTATGTAATTAGTAAAAAACAAACAAAAATTTAAAATATTTATTATGACAATCTAAATTTATACCTTGACATTGGTTAACCTTGGAAAGTCATCTGTTAAATAATGTTTAGCATACTTACATGAATGTGCAGTTTCCCAGAGAGTACTTCATACTTATATTTCTGTTCATTATACACATTGCCAGGACCAATTACATCTGTGCCGTTAAAAAGCCAGAACATGAAGTTGTGGTCCACATCATTGCTATGACAATTTAGAACTGCAGTACTACCAGCTGGAATCTCAGTCACAGTTAACTGTTTTATCTCTGGAATACTATCACGCATTGAATGCATTTTAAAATTGCTCTCTTTTGGTTAAACCTCCAAAGGAATTATTATATCACCAAATATTACAACGCAGCCACAAATGATTTGACATGTGCAAACATACTCAGCCTCAATGAATGTGTGCCAAGTTTAAAATTATCTACATCACTCCTTGTCACATGGTTCACCTTCAGTTGAGTTTATATAGTCCAAAATAGCAGAAAACAGTGTTTTCATGGTTATATGTTCACATTTTAGTATCTACTGCTACCACTTGAATGTTTTATTAAATGCATGAAAACTTCGACACAAAGCACTGGTAGTAACATCCAAATAGGAGTCATTACAACATATATTGGCAGATTTACTCTGGTATATTCTAATTTGATGCATATTATAATTTGTGCTGCCATTTTTAAACCTATTGCAGCTATGTACCACACATTTTTATTTATAGTCCCACGAAATCTTTCTATACCATTCCTACAGTGTGAAATCATATGAAATAACACGTATATTAATAAAATACTATCATAAACCCACATCGGTATAAAAACAATGAACCAATTCCAGTGAGTCCTTGATTCTAGTCTCAGACATAGTAGTATTAAAAAAACCAAGAAAATAAACCATGTAAATAGAGCTCTATGTAAAATAGCCATTATTTTATAGCTTGCTTTATTCCTTAACTAAAAATAGATATTTCTATATTAGGTCAAAATTTTGGAAAACAGATCGATCGTTCGTTGGACAGACAATTGACAATATTGGCATTGACATTATGTCATATGTCATGAAGCCACCAGCTGAAACGTTGCTGAAACCCATTGACATAGGAAATATATGGACTTGAAATACCTACGAAAGAAAGGTGCCTACCTACAATCCAAAATGTCGCATAAGATGGCTGCCGTTGCTTGGGTTGTGCCGACTAAGTATTTAACGAAAATCGATACAATTTGAGTTAAAGTTCTACGTAGGCATAGTTTTAGGGATTAGCCAGCTGATTAACGGTATTTTTTTATGGGAAATCATCTATTGTCATCTCCGGCCTTTTTCGGGACAGACCGTTACTGACTAAAATCAACTCCTGTTCCTACTTTGCCGTCGGCCTAGCTAGAGCCCGGAACCCGGGGTTAACTTGGTCTCTTGATTGGCTAATGATTTTGTCAAGTCGAATTTGTATTCATATAATTCAACGTACCTAAAGCGTCTTTTAAAAAAATAGGACTGTGTTTATGACCAGCGTTTAATGGAATGATGAAATAGAAAAAGATAGTGTTTGTTAAATGTTTATCTTTATATATGTGGAAAACCTGTGGGTATTTGTGAAGTGCTCGCGCACAATTTCGGCGCGTCTGATTAAACAATGATATCTTCGAAACTACGTTAGCACAAAATAGATAATATATGTAGTGAAGTCAATCTTATTGTATGTATCTCACTTTTTATTATTACGCTTGGTGGTCGCACTGGGATCGTCGCCAACGCCGCTCTGTCAATCGCGCCCGTATAATTATAAAACATGATAATTTGAACTTCTACTTATGTAACTAAAACCAATACCAAAATACTGACGTCTTACTTTAGCGTTACACAAAACTGCGGAAACATCCATTGTTAAAATAAATTATTTAGTATATGTTGAATTTTAAATGGGAGATTATATCGATACTTTTGTGAAATGGTACGTAACTATGCCATATTGACATATTATTGTAAACAACATTTTTTTACTAAAACTGTCTCACAGACAGAAATAAAAGTAAATATATATACTTTGGCAATAGATTAAAGTATCCGTGACATTTTTTTCTATCTATGTGGATTATTCTAAGTAATATTTGATGAAAACTGTTTACTAACCTATACAAAGACAATTGAGGTTGATTTTCGTTCTTTTTTGCACCACCTTGCACAATACAACACACAGGCATATTGTTTTTTTGTTTCACTATATATATTTGAAGTTTAAAAAAATGGTTCTTTGTAATTTACTGAAAAACCGCAATAATTTAAAACATAAACAACCGTTTGACAGGACAACTACCATGAAACTCAGGTACTCTGAGCGCTTAAGATGGCGGACATGGCACTTACCTACAACTTTGCTAATGTCAAAATGATTTGTTTCCATATTAAGCAACAACTTAAATATTGTTGTCCCTTTTGTCTAATACAATTATTGCCTTAGAAAGAGTGAGAAAAAATGATATTTCATAGTTTGTTTCATATTTCCCTCATATTTGTATAAGCATGTATACTTCTATAGTAACACGGCGCCTCTATATATTTTCTATCTCAATGCTGAAACCACAGCATATTGTACTTTTTATAATTTGTTTTTAATATTCTCGATTCTCTAAAATAGCGAATTTATATATGGCAACTCAACTGACAACATTTTGAGTTTGACTTGGCTTAAAAGACTTGTATCCAGGCCTTAAACTCCAAAAAAAATTTGAGTTTGACGTTTTGTTTGACTTTGACATTTAAATTTTAATGGAAGTTTATTGTCGCGGTGTGTCTGTGTTTTTCTCTTTATTGTATTGAATTACTTACCAAATTTCATTACTTTAAAAACTATTTAACTCTTAATATCGTGCCATTACTTAAAACCGGCTAAGATGGCTTCGCCTTTGGAACAGTTCGTGGATAATGTTAGGACTATGTCGGCATCAGGTAATTTGCTTTTGCAAACTTGTTTTGCTGATCTAAGTGTTGAATTTGTTTACAATTTATCATGTTTACAGGTTCCTTTCGAGAGTTGTGCGAAGTAATTGGGAAATCTGATGAGGTATTGCAAAGAAACACCGCACATCTATCAACAGTCTTGGAGACCCTTGACATTCAGCAACACTCTTTAGGAGTCCTAGCAGTACTCGTCGCAAAATTCTCACTACAACAGGTATCCTATATGTATAATAGACTGCGTATTACGTTTATTCTGTTAAGAAATTAATGTACATCTATTTAAATACTTACTAATATGTCTATTTCCAAATAGGGTGGTGATGTAGATAAATCTACCATGTTCAAACAGATTCATGATTTTATCACCAACTGCAACGGAGAGCAAGTGAGATTTTCACCAGAACTATGTATGTATATTATATTTTTTGTGATTTTTACTTTTTCTATTCATTGTTAGTAGACTTCACTTGTCTAAGTTAGTTTTTAAAGTAAAACACTCATAAACATAGTATCCTATATCAACTTTCATCAAACCTAAACTTGATTTTTATAGTCTATATTTATATTAACCCCTATAAACTTTTTTTTTAAAGTTAGCTCATTTGATGTGGGTAACATTATATTGGTATGTGTTATACACACACATGTTAGCTAACCATCAAAAGGAATTCTACTTATATTAATAAGAATTTCAAGTTGTAGCAATGTATAATTGCAAAATGGAGTGAAGGCTAACTTAGGTTCTTCTCATTATAGAAATTGGTAATATTATGAGTGATTTTGGATACCACTATGACCACACAATACAAAACAGGAGTAAATCTACCACCAACAAAACATTACTATTAGTGACCAGACTGATCAAATAAAATCTACTTTTAATACCATAAAGTAAAAAAATAATAATAAATTATAATTTTAATATTGAAGCAAGACACTATGTTACCACTTTTGGTGATTAACCAATCTAAGCAAAGGTTGTTTGCCAGTGAAAGAGGAAAGTATAAATGAGATCTTCAAATGTTATAACTGAAAATCTTTTACCATAATATAATCTCTATGTAAAAATAATTTTCAGATGCCGAGCTGTGTCATCTGTTAACAAATTACTTGGTAGAAATAAAGCAACCCATCAGAGGAATTGAAATACTGAAGAAAGCTATAAGGAAAATACAATTGTTTGATTCCCAGCTAACATCAATCCATGCAGATCTTTGCCAACTCTGTTTACTCTCAAAATGCATGAAACCTGCTTTGGAGTTCCTGGACACTGATGTTACTGGTATTGGATCTGAGGTATGCTTATCACAATAAATAGAAACAAAATTATTAGCAAAATAGATTTTTATCAAGACCATTTTATTATTGTCTGACATCATCATCTAACAAATTCCTACATCAAAGGTACTATTTGTTCAACAGATAATTTATTTATTTATATGAATTATCTCCTAGACAGTGATGTCTTCTAGCTGGACTGTAAGTGTAATAAATTCTGTTATAGACATTACTAAGTAAAATGTAATTAATATTTGATTTTCAGCTTGGTGGTAACAATGACTCGAAACATTTTCTTTTGTATTACTACTATGGGGGCATGATCTACACTGCAATGAAGAACTATGATAGAGCCTTGTATTTCTTTGAAGTAGTTGTCACTGTGCCCGCTATGGTGGTCTCTCACATCATGTTAGAAGCTTATAAGAAATATATACTGGTCTCATTTATTCTACATGGAAAGGTATGTTAGTTTACAATTTGCTATCTAATTTACTGGCAGATTAAAATACAAGTCTGATTTATTCTCTTATATCTGCCCCAGAACAACCCACTGACCAGATTGTTAGCCAATAAGAATGGTCTCTCCCTATTTAAAACTGACATGCATACAAAACAATGTAATGTGGCTATAAATTTCTTATTTAAAAAAGCTGATTTTCTTTTTATTTCATCATAGTATCTTTTTTCTAACAGATATTGCCTATGCCAAAGTATGCTTCGCAAGTAGTATGTCGGTTTTTAAAGCCTCTGTCAGCGGCTTATCATGAGCTGGCTACCTCCCAACATGCTGCTATCAAACATCGCGATACCTTCATCAGGGACAAGAATATGGGTCTAGTGAACCAAGTAAGATGTATTTTTTTTTATTATATCACATTTACTATACTCGGACTTTTAATTCCATTCCAGATTTGACAATTTCAGTGTTGCAACGTTATGACACGTATTAAATAGTGACGTTGCGAAATTATTCGATGTGGAAATCCAATGTTTCTGAATCGATTCCTCTCGTTTATATATTTAATCTCGCAAACTAAGTTTATCAGGAAATAAAATATTTCTGATCCGATAATTTAGTTTTGACAATTAATTAACGATCTGAGACTTTTCTTTTGTAATTGTGTGTGAAATAAATAAAAAATGTGATCATGAAGGCACATGACAAATAAAACAGAAATTTTATAAATTGTTGCCGTCATCGCTTTCGCTATCGCTGTTACTTTCTGTAACATTTATTATGAATTGTGTCTGTGATTTTTATTTTCAATTAACATATTAAGCTTACTCATTTTTTCCCCTATTTTGACAACATGGGATACGCATTTAGACCATTCGGTAGCCGTAATTTTTTGAATGCCTTCCTGAAACCGATTCACTGATTGTTTATCGATTTTTGTGTTCATCACTACACTGTTATATGTGGTATCATTATTTCACAAAATGACAATAGGTCATGTCAAATCAGGAATCGAATTAAAATTCTGACGATAGTGTAAAAAATGTATAGCATATTTACTGACATGTTGTTTGACTATGCTACCACTTCAAGTAAAATTATATTTATGCACACTTTCAGGTGTTAAGTTCTATGTACAAAAAGAACATTCAGAGGCTAACAAAGACGTTTTTAACACTTTCTCTGAGTGATGTAGCCGCGCGAGTGCAGCTCACTGGACCATCACAAGCTGAAAGTTACATTCTTAACATGGTAAGAAAGATAATTGGGTCGTAAAAATTACATCTTCATGGTAAAATACCTAAATATATGTTGACAATTCATTTAAGAAAGTGAGAATTGGGTGGTTTCTTAGGTCAAAGGTAAATTATTTCTATAATTAGTATTTAAAAATACAACAACATATTGGAAAATAACTATACTTTCATTCATCGATCGATCGATACACAAATTTTCGATGCGATTTTCATGCATGTAAGTATTGAATTTGACTAGTTGGAAACTGCCATATTACTTTATATTTTCTTTTTTTAATTTACATGTCTCCAATTTTCCAAAATAAAAACAATAACTTAATTACCACTTTTATTTCGTTTCGCAGATTGAAGAAGGCGAAATATATGCGATGATAAATCAAAAAGATGGAATGGTGGTGTTCTTGGACAGTCCGGAGAAATATGCGTCGCCTGAAACTTTATGCGTACTAGAACAACAAATGGCTGCTTGCACAAAGTTGCACCAGTATATTCAAGAGATGGATGAACAGATACAAGTTAATTCTCAGGTGGGTAACATACTTATATTATTGGTAATTCTAATTGATTGTAGGATTAGAGGCCCTTTTCTAACTAATGTGTGATTGAGCAAAAGAAGTAAAGGTCTATTCCAGAATACTATCATACACCATTATAATAACTATAATTATATATAATTTGGTTTTTCAGTATATCAAGAAATCAGTGGGCAGCCATGACGAAGATATACCAGCCACCAGTCAGAATTCTAAGACCACTTATTCTATGTAAACTTATAGATACTCATTTTTTAATAAATAGCTTTGTAATTAAAACACAATTTTGTAGTTTGACTACAATACATCCCTATCCCAGTTTATTGTGCAACATACATACATAAATTTGATTTAGGAATATAAACATCTTTTTTAAAAACAACAGACAACAAAAAATGAAATATAAAAGCAAAATATATTACAAAGCTTCATGAACTGCCTCAGTGAATGCTTTCATACTTTCCAAGGGTGTTTGTGGTGTGATTCCATGTCCTAAATTTGCTATGTATCGTTTTTTGCCAAATTTTTGCACCATCTCTATTGTCATTTTAGTGATTTCCTCCTGTAATAAATAAAAAATGTGAAGTAGACATATATATTATAAACATTTGTTTTGTAAATGGGAAAGAACTACATACTGGGGTCCTGTACAAATCCTGTGGATCAAGGTTTCCTTGTAAAGTGAAGTTATCACCCACAATCTTTCTAGCCTCTTCTGGGTCTACAGTCCAATCCAACCCAATTGTATCATAACCTAATCCAGTTTGAACGTCAAGGTATGGTCCACCACCTTTAGCAAATACAGTCTGTAACCAGAATTAATAAAATTTATAACGAATTAATAACATAATTTCTCTTATAGCCCTGACAGTTTTAAATTTTTATGATCTTTTACCATAGGAACTTGTTCCAGATTTTTAGCTTCAATCTTATTTTTGACACCACTTCTAATATCTTTTAGATATGGTGCAGAAAACTCAATAAACTGATCTCTGTTCAAATGATCAGCACTTGACTCAAATACTTGCAGTAACTGAGCTCCACTCTCCACCTGTAAAAATATAAAATTTACACCTGAACAAATAATACTGTAGAGAATTTTTTATATTACTTAACCTTGAAATTTTGAGAACTTATAAAGAATAGCAGTGAACTGAGATAGCCTGACCTTCTTATCATATAGGTCATTTTTATTCACATTAGAATGTTATTGGTAGATGATGAATTAATAAATTTACTTAATTTAAAAAAGGAACGGATGTGTTTGCCATTCAGCCACAATTATCACTACTAGAACTACTTTTTTACCCTAAGAGGATGAGAGCAACTTGTTTAAATAATAAAAGTAATGGTTGAATATTACCTGCATAATCAAATAGTCTATGATAACTCTAGTAAGTAGGCTTAGCAATTTGTGAACATCCTTAGGATATTTTTCTAACCATTCCTTTGTTTTTGACATTGTCTTGCTTCCGCCACCTTCAATCATGTATCCCATTAGTGTGAACTGAAATATTCAAAACAACCAATTCAACCATTAATTTCTAGAAACAACTTTATAATATATTGACATAAAATTGATAAAACTAATTAAAAGAACTAAAGATTAAAATACAAGTTATAAAAATCATGATGACTTTATGTTTTTTTTTAATTACAGCATATAATTACTAGACTATTTTTCCAACTTACTGGAGCTCCAGTGAAACCAATCAAAGGTACTTTGCCCTCAATTTTGTGCCTAGTTAATGTAATGGCTTTCCCAACATATAGTAATCGATCAACAGCACCTTCTTCTTTTAAATTATCAATTTCTGAGGGATCTTGAAGTGGACTAGGAAATACTGGACCCTGTAATATAAATAATATATCTTAAAAACATTTTACTTGCAAATAATTATACTTATTCTTGATTAAGGTATACTTACAACACCTGGGTGCATTTCGACTGTCATTCCAAGTGCTTGTGGAATAACAAGAATGTCACTGAATATAATTGAAGCATCAAGGTGGGGATATCTTCTCAATGGCTGTAAGGTTACCTCGCAAGCCAGCTCAGGTGTTCTGCACACTGTAAAGAAGTCGTGTTTTGCCCTTACTTCCTGAAATTCTGGAAGATATCTGCCGGCTTGCCGCATTACCCATACTGGAACTTTGTCTACTTCTTTTCCGAGTGCAGCACGGAGCAGACGATCATTTTTTAGTTCCGGAAAATTCTGTGAATATGCTTTATTGTATACGATCGTACAACAATTAAATATTTATATGATTTAACATAAAATTGTGTTAAAAACTTACCTTTGGTATGAACTCAACATTTTTGTCTTCCATTATTGAAAGCGTTTGTAATATTAATGCAATATTACTCAATAAAAGGAGTACTGCAATAAGTAATTGCAAAATAATGACTATTAGAAAACGAAGCAAACTTATTACAGTTTTCGAGTCACGCACATACGTACATACACAATATACCAGCCAGAGACCGATAGACAGTGACAATGACAGACAACTATTGAACACTATGAATGTCACGATCCTGTGAAGTTTGAAGTTTTGATGGTTGTCAAAATGACATTTGATATTTATTTTATATTATTGCAACATTTAAAGCGGTAACGGAGGCAATTTAATGAATTAAGATGTAGAACAACCCCAATTAGAACTTGTCTTTCGTTAAATAATGGATTACTTTATACATTTTTAACGGGAGGAATGTTATAAATTTCTATTTGTGATTCGTTATTTGTACCACAGATGGCGCTTGTAGTGGGTAGACTGCTTTTACGTTGTTCCTATAGTATAACTAACTCTTAAGATTTGCCTATTGGGATAATCACTAAAAGATATGATATGATTGCCTAATTACAAAAAAGGAACAATAGACACGAATAATAACATTGCTTTGTAGCATTACAAAGCAATTCTTAATTGTATGCTGATAGGTAACTTTGATACTAAAAAAACGAAAATGTTTAAGCGTTTAAGTACTTATGTAGACAAAAACTTATTTTCAAAAAAAAAAAATCTTGATTACGAATAATTTTGAGTTCCTAGCAATGAATTCAAACCGCTGCGTTTCCCGTTTATGCTTACCTACCTACCTCCTAACAAAAATTTACGAAAACATGGTCAACAGAAGACATAGGTTTAGAAAAGAAAATATCCAATGTTTGCGAGTAGACTCATCTACCTGCCCTCACTATTCTATCAAAACGAAAAAAAAAAAATACAAATGAGTAGAGGCCTACGATAACGCAATGGTTTTTGTGGAGCGACACAAGGCGACCTTTTACAATGTCTATAGATTTTTTCTATCAAACCTTTATACCACTTTCCTAATAAACTTTATTCGCCTAACATAAAAGGGACAGGTCCCGAGTTCCCGACTTTAAAGGGACGTTCGAAATTTAAAATTCGTCTGTAGATATTAATGAAATCGCATTTTAGTTAAGCTTCTGTTGATGGTTGCTTGTAATACAACAATGTCTTCGTTTCAGTCTAGTAGGCAGATAGAAAAAAAGTGAAAACGATGCACAATAAAAAATTGCTTGGTTTTGTTTGAGTAATTAGTACTTACCTAGACATGTACCTACTAAGTTCGGTAGGTACAGATTTTTGCGCTTATTATCTTACGTCCTTAAATTAAAACCGTAACCATGCCAGTAAAATATCGCAATTCGCAATTGTAAAATATCGCATTCCCACAAGTACCTAGGTACTTGTGGGAATGCGATATTTTACAATTGTCAAATTATTTTTTTTAATTGAAATCCTAAAAAATAGGTACTAACTTCATTGTTATTTATTTTTTAAACAAATATGTAAACGATTAAGAATATCGTTATAAAACTAAAAGTGTACCTATGTATGATTTTACTGTAGGTACTGAAAAGTCGAAGTTAATTTATCGACCTAACATTTTTTTACACCCATCATACTTTCCTGGATTTCCTTCTTAATTCAAATTTGAATATGAAATTGATTTTAAAGACATTTTCATGATACTTTCTACCCTTCATACTGTTACAGAGTAATAGACCTGTCAGTATTCTCGTTATTAAGTGCTCTATCAATTTTTATTTCTTTCGAATTTATTAAAGTTTTGGCTTTTGATAACTTTTTTTTTATTTGAATGGCACTTGTTATCTTTTTATATTCCGTGTCTGTATCCTATTGATCGGGGATGCAGTGACACAGGTGCTGTGACTTGTGCATTCTTTGTGCAACGCCGTGGGATCGCGGGACTCTATTCATAATATTTATTTTAATTTGCGTGTAACGACTACCAAAACCAATGATTTTAGACCGAAGAGATTTTGGTTTTCGTATGACAGCCCGTTGATGTCGCGATAAAAATTTGTAAAAACATTTAATTTTTTTCAGGTAGGTAAGGTATAAAGTATTTACTTCGTTGGGTATGTACCTTATGGTTCTTTCTACGTAGGTAACGAACAAAGATTAGACTAATTAGATATCGACAGAATGATGCCTGATACAACGTAGCTATTTTATAGCTTTATTAGCTTTGTCTGTGATGCCTATTTTGTGGGACAAAATCTCTTATTTATCTCTCGTTTCACCACCTGGTGTCCACGCAAGGTAGCCCAAAGATAATAAGTACATAATTAGGCACTGAGCAAAAACTATTTCAAAATCAAATGATAAAATAGTGTGGGAACAAAACTTTTTTTTAAAGTATTAAATAAAAAACAAAGGGCGAAGATTATACGCAATAATTCAGCTGGTCCCGTTATATCTCGAATGCTTTTTTCGATATTCAAAAAAAGTTAATGGCCAGTGTATCTGCGATTTCTTTCTGAAGAAATCCTTTTTTGCAACGGCCTATCATTTTGTCTAAGTTCATTGGGCCCAGTAGGGGCTTTAAAGGAGATTGAAAACGTTATAATAAACAATGACTTAGACATTTTTAGGATCTCATTTCATTTCGATGCAGATTTTTTACGCACAGCTTCGATAAATATTATAGGAATGCAGATATATTCTACGTTTTGGACAAAGTTTTGTTACAATATTTGTAACATTATAAAAGATTTTTCTTGAGAGAATACCTTATGAAGGTACCTAAATAGAGTTAAAATCCAAAGTATTTAGGTAGAACATAAATATCTTCAAATCCAAATATGCGACGACAAACTAAAAGTAGCAAGTGATTTAGTTCGTGAGATAATGAAGTCTGCACCTTAGAACTACGAGTTTTAAGTGCAAACGTAGCCTTATCTCCGTAACTCACGCTAATATAAAACAATATAGTTATATTACTGTTTTCATAATTAATGCCAATCTCTTTCATCTGTTTCGTTAATTAATACGCCGTGCATTATAAAAATACTGTTAGTTGGATACACAAAGTTGTTTTCAAGTGGGATTTAAGGGATTCGGATACAATAAAACCTCCTACACTTCTTAAGCAAGTTTAAAAGTAAGGCGGGATCTATCAACATAGAAAATTATTGGATTCGATTTTTAAAATTTAAATTAATAGTTTTACGGAGATGATTTTCGCTCAACTTGTCATTTAGGTACATTCAATTGAATACTTTGACCGTAAGTAGCAGGAACAAGGAGGATTCATTCACCAATGCGCCATGATAGCAAAATGATGACGTGTTCCAGTATTATTAGGGCATAACTTGCAATGACGCCTATGCAGCAAGGAAGGTGCATTCAGCGTCGGCGGCAATAGCGAACAATTGCCACTAATGCAGGCTCAATTTATTTACGAGTCAGTCGCTAGGGGCGAATGGGAACATAGACGACGTTCTACGATAGAGTCGACATACATATCAGTTATTTTGGAGGTCCGATTGCGTAGGTACCTAGGCTTAAGTGATTACTATGCCGTTTTTAAGGCAAGCGAAATATTTTTTTAAGTGTTCATCGAGGGGAAACATCTTAAGAGACGTGTTAACGTCAACCTGTCTTTTTACAATATTTTGTCATATTCATCCTGATGGATTTGAATTTGAAATAAAAATATTGTATTACCTTATTTGTGTCCATTAACATTATAACCCAAATGGTCTGTCTGAGTCGCTTAGCCTTTATCAACATAATCGCCGATACTCGCATTGTTTGTGTCGACCTAATGTCAGGTAGTTATAGAGCTCTACCATTTGTAATTGTAATAGTAATTGCGTATTTATAAAAGCAGCACACAACGATTAATGTTCGATCAATGGCAATGATAGATCAACGCCCTCAAACGTTCGCTGTTAACGCGGAAGACCATTTTGTCTACTCCAAGGTTTTCCTTGTGTGTGCACAGGAGGAGGACATTGACTCAAGCAGTGTAAACAGTTCCTTATCTCGAGCTTCGCTGCAACGAAGCAGGCGAGACACTCGCAGCTTTTATCTAAAACAAAATTGTAGTTAGTAGATAGTCCCGAACTACGATATTCGATGGAGAACGTACTCACCTACACCGTATTTACAACAAACGCGGTGGACAAACATATGAAGGTTTATTCATACTTGCGATGCGTGTAAAAAACATTTGAGTAAATTAACGAGCATTGCCATTCAACATGCAGGAAGTGATAAATATGCATTAAAAATAAAAGAGTCAAATAATGAGTAAACACAGGGTCTTGAGACTGTGACTCAAGGAAGTGATAATGATTAAGTACATTTTCTGGTTAGAATCTAATTCGCTTCCATTTGAATTCACCGAAAACGGTTGTAGAGAAGTTCGTTAATTCTTGCCAACGTATATTTGATACGGAAGTATGGTTTTGGACGGCGATTATGATCTTAAGCAAGGCGGGTGTGCACTAGATGCGATGCGCGGTTGATAGTAGTAATTTAGAAAGCAGTTTTTTTGCCGCCACGGGCAGCTGGCCACCAATCAAAATGTGCATTGTGCAGTGAGGGTTGCTTGTTAATTGCCGACTCATGACTATCCTGTGTTTTGATAAAAGAACTCAGCTTGGACTCACCTCGTTGGCTGTCCATGAGTTTTATGATTGATTGGCAGTATTTTGTTTATATTATTTGGGTGGACATCTTTCTCATAAATTTTAAATCCTTCCGTTTGTCGTTTCAAAATAATTCCATTGGGTATGGAATTATTTATTACTTTTAATCGTTTTTAAAAATTTCTAAAAGACAGAAACTTCAATTATTTGTGTAAATGTTTATAAAAACTTCTACGCATTCTTATTGAACTAAAAAGCAAGGGGAGAGAATAAGCGGAATGCACGTGTGCGATATTAAAATCAGATCCATTCAATAGCTTCCTAACTCAATCGGGTGTTTTGAAGAATTTTTTATTCTATTGCAGTGCGCTGTGTCACAAATTGGTGTCAGGTTAGTCGAAGTGAAAAAGTGCAAATTTTTTTCTAGTACCTTAAAACAACACTCTTACGAGTAGTAGATATCTACCGTACTGAAAAGTTAACGTACTATAACTTATATACATAAACACTGAATACCTAAAGCGAAAGCACATGTACTTTGAATATAGGATGCATAAGTATGGCTTGCATTTAATAATGAGGCGCGGGAGGGCGGC